CAGTTCTTCTATGGAATGCCAACGGACTGAAACAGCACAGTACTGAACTCGACTTATACTTGCACGAAAAACGAATCGACGTAGCACTCATTACAGAAACACACCTGACATCCCGATCAAAAATTTACATCCAGGATTACACAATTTACAGAATTGATCACCCAGATAAAACTGCACATGGAGGAACAGCTATACTCGTCAAAAATTCTCTGAAACACAATCCCGTAGACTTACCCATTACACCCGACATACAATCGACAGGAATAACACTATACACTAAACACTACACTATAACATTCGCCTCAGTTTACTGTCCCCCTAGGTACAAGCTTACACCCACGATGTTTTCTGAGTTCTTCAAACGCCTCGGAAGATGCTTCATCGCAGGTGGAGACTATAATGCTAAGCATCAAGGCTGGGGCTCAAGGTTGTGTACTCCAAGAGGCAGAAATCTCTGGTCTGTTCTCCATGAACTTTCATTAGACACTGTAACACCAAATTCACCAACTTATTGGCCCACCTCCAGACGCAAAACTCCCGACTTACTTGATTTCTTTATTACAAAAGGACTAAGAACCGTACCATTTGCCGTCAATGCAACCTCCGATCTTTGTTCTGATCACTCCTCAGTGCACATGGTTCTCTTCGATGAGCCTTCCGAAGCACAAAAAAGGCCTAGGCTCATAAAAGGCTGCATGGACTGGGACGCATATAGAGACTATTTGAACACCAATCTTTCCGTTCCAGGTTCAATTAAAAATCATGAGGAATTAGAAGAAGCTGTTGAAAAATTCACAAAAAGCATACAAGATGCAGCATGGGCCTCATCAACATCCAGGCCACAAAAAGCAGCGAACCAATGTACATAAGGGACTTGATTAGAGCAAAGAGAAGAGCACGTAAAGTATGGCAGACTAATAGACTTCCTTCAGACCGACAAATTTTTAACAGATTGAACAACGAACTTAAAAGACATATTCAAAACTTCAAAAGCACAAACTACGACAATTTTATTAACAACCTTTCGACGGACGATGGAAGTTTATGGAGACATACAAGGAATCTTTTAAAGCATCGTGAGGTGTCAGCACCCCTACGAAGAGAGGATGGCTCTTGGGCTGTTTCGGACGAGGAAAGGTCTGAACTCTTTGCTAACCATCTTTCCACTGTTTTTAAACCACATACAGACTTAATTAATACAGAACACGATATTTTTGTACATAATAACTTAGACATACCGCTACAGCTCACACTACCACCACCTCCTTTCACACCATCACAAGTTGCACAAGAAATTAGACAATTGCCCAAAAGAAAAACCTCTGGTCATGACTTGATAACCGCTGAGACGCTCCAGCAAATGCCAAGGAAAACGATAGTGTTTCTTACCACAATCTTCAATTGCATTCTCAGGACCACCAAATTTCCTATACAATGGAAATACTCACACATAACCATGATTAAAAAGCCAAACAAAGACACTAACAACCCTTCTTCATATCGACCGATTAGTTTACTTCCAGTATGTTCTAAGTTATTCGAAAAACTATTGTACCCACGACTATTACATATACTAACAGACAGACAGATTATTCCTGACCATCAATTCGGGTTTTGAAAATTACATTCAACAACACAACAATTGCACAGGGTGACTGACTACATCTCTACAGCACTAGAGCGGAAATTATATGCAACCGGAGTGTTTCTGGATGTCGCCCAAGCGTTCGACAAAGTATGGCATCAGGGGCTTCTCTTCAAGCTTAAGACCATACTTCCACATACTTACTACTTAATTCTCCATTCCTTTCTCTCAGATAGATTTTTCTCCGTTCGACATGGCCAAGGTCTATCCTCAATTCGATCAGTTTTAGCTGGTGTACCTCAGGGATCAATCCTAGCCCCACTACTGTACATCACATACACACACAACATTCCTCAAAGTATCCACACTCTTACAGCAACCTACCCAGACGACACTGCTATCATCACCAGGCACGACAATCCTACAGAGGCATCACTTAACTTACAACATTACTTACAAATTATACTCGATTGGTGAAAACTTTGGAAAACTAAAATAAATTATCAAAAGTCACAGCACATCACATTTACTCTAAGACCAGAAACATGCCCTCCTGTATACTTAGACAACATACCGATTCCACAAACGGACAGAGTACAATACCTAGGCCTTACGTTCGATAGGAGAATGACATGGGGTCCACATGTGAAGAAAAAACGAATCACATTATATCTAAGACTAAAATTGTTACATACACTGTTAAGACAACATTCCAAATTAAAAGCAAGACAGAAACTAAGTATTTACACGTATCTTTTAAAACCTCTTTGGACTTACGGACTACAAATATACGGAATTGCAAAACCAACTCACATAAATAAACTTCAAACTTTTCAGTCTAAGATACTACGACTAATCACTCAAGCACCATGGTACGTAAACAATCACACTTTACACACCGACCTACACGTTCCGACAGTCAATGAATACATACGAACGTACTACAAACGATTTCATAACATGTTAAACGGGCACTCCAACCAGCTGGTAAAAGAAATGGCCACAACTAGTATGCCCGAGAACTCCAGAAGACGACTGAAAAGGGTCTGGATGAGGGATCTCCTTAAATAATGTTAGTAAATAAAAGCCATGGAAGGGATACCGCTGGGTATTGCTATTCCTCATGCCTATCAAGCCTTTTTTATTTATTTATTTTTTTAATTTTATTTTATTTTTCTCATTACTAAGCCAGCACATCTGCTGATTGTCAATAATAATAGACAGGTGCGGATAAATAAATGTAAGTGCAAAAAAAAAAAAAAAAATTATATACAATAATTCATTTAATACAATTAGCAATATATTTTTCTTATTTTACAGCAAAAAAGCAAATCGATTGATGTATGATAACACAGAAATCCATGCAGTGCAAAGTAAGAAAACATTATTACAAAAAAATTAAAATAATTTTTTTTCTAGGCTCCTAGGGCTCATTAGCAAGAACCCTCAGACATGGGTCTAATATTTTTCGATCTAGCATCACCAAAAAAAGTTTCATTGAAATCAGTGATCCCATGTCTGTAACCTCCTCTTATTAGGGAAAAGGCAAGGATTGTATGATAATTTATTTTAACACATTAGCTGCGGTTACCGTCCCTGGCGTCCGATAACTTTATATCATATATATTGATTATTTACATTTACATCTATCCAACTACCATTAAAATATTTTTAAAAATTACCATTATACAGAATTTGTAAGATAATCAAAATTCGAAACAATCCCGGCCGAATATCAGAACCATGAAACTGTAGCTGCAGCTAATGTGTTAAGTTGTGATTTACTTGTAATATTAAAATTCAAATACAGTCAAACTTCTGAAAATAAAAAATCTCTGTATATCAAAATTATTATAGGCACCTTTGATTTTTATTAGAGAAATATATTTAGTATATCAAATAAAATGTCTATAAATGAATAAAAAGTAAAAATAGAAAAATACAGAATGTCATTATCATCAAAAAGAACCTTAGTCTTAAGTTCTTAAGAATGGGTAATACTTAAATATATATATAATGGGTAATACTTAAATATATATATATAAAAAAAATGTCAAACTGTTATGTTAAGCAATGAACATTTGGGAACAAGATTGTTTAAACTCCCAGCAGCCATACTTATAGATGATCTTTATTGTAAAATAACTTATTAATCTTAATGGTTACTCCATTTTTTTCACTTTCAGTTTAACAGGACCAGTTATAACCGTTTGTCAGCTATTTTTTCCAAGGAACAAATCTTTTTGAATTGAGATGGGAGAAGGAAAAATTCACATAAGCGAAAATAAGAGATAGAATTCAATAAAATTGATACTGGATGATCATGTTTTCATGAATACCTAACTTTGAGTGTAATCAAAATGAGTCATTATTAATTTATAGGCATGTTTTAATACATTTACCTATTCGGTAGAGAAAGTAATTGATGAAATTGATAGGGATTATCCCTAAAAATTCATGAAAATTGAATTAATGGTTGTAAGTGATATGCTCCTCCCATGGGATTTGACTCCAGATAGACATTGCGTATATAGCAAACCAAGTCGGAAACAAAAGGGAGTTGTACCTGGCCCAAAGGCATCCATCAGACTCCCCCTATCACGGCGGCTTCTTATAAACAAAAAATGAAAGGATTGGGACCTGTATTACCATAGATTCAGCACCAAAGTAGAATAGATCTCAGAAAGCTGGCATTCCTTTCTGTGATGCTATTAACCTTCAGACTGCTATGTCTGCAACTGGCATACTGCAGGATGCGCCAGCAACCACCCAGGTCATAGAACCATTTCGAAACTTTTTAGACCAACAGACCAAAAATTATCATATGATTCCTATATTCTGAGGTAGAATAGAGGGAATTCTTTTGCTATAGAATCAGAGAGGGCCGGCTTCATACCGTGAGTTCCAGACTAACAAAAGATTTGTTCCTTGATGACGTCAAAAACATAAAATGTGAGTGAATTTTTTTTTTACCTCCCTAATACAGTATACTAACATAACCCGTGGAACAAGACCTAGAAAATATCACTAAAGAAATTGAGCAATGGTTTATCATATGCTTCCATGTAAGATAACAGAATTATGAGATGACATATCGTAACTCCCCTCCATGAAATAAACAGGCAAAGGGAGGTGGTTTTAGTGGGTCAAAATTGCACTTGCAGATAGATATGAAGCCATGATGTCATTTGAAGATTTAAACATCAACCTATCCTAATTAAAAAAAACAAAAATATGCACAGAACTTAATTATTTGGACTCAAGAGCCTCCAAACATGTATTTCTTTGAAAATATAAAATTAGACTTTATTAACTACAACTATTGGTCATTAGTGTTATGTCACTCTCCATTACCTTCTATAAATTAGTTGAAATTATATGATAATCAATTTAATTTAATAATCTGTATACGTACAAGATATATGGTGAGCTGGGCTTTGATATCATCATCCATATTCTTCCCTAATTCAGTAAAAGGAAATGCTGGCCCATGATCATATATATAACTGTCTATCATTTGTCGACTGAGAGATAAATTTACATTGTTTTCATCTGATAGCCTTCCTGTAAAATTTTATCATGGTTAAAATATAGAAGAAATAAACTTGATTTTATAGCTACTAGACAGGTTTAGAGGGTTACATTGTTCATGACCAAGATGAAATTATTTTCTATTTTTATTTGGATTCATAGTATAACGCTTTGCAATTTAAAATGAGGTTATCTTCAACCCAATGAGGCATACTAAAATTTAAATATAAATATCTTGTTACTGTTGCATTTTATTAATTTATATAAGGAAGTTTCTAAATATATATACATATATAATACAAGTGGAGAGGTATATTGTCTGAACATAATTTTCTTTGAGCGAAGTCAGCATTTTAGTTAACAAATTTAAAAAAATAAATAAATTCAAATTTAATTCATATCATGAATGAAATTAGTCTAATTATTTTCCAAACCAATGTGCCCTAAATAAAAATAAATCTTTTAGTAATAGAAAAACAACTAAAATATGGCACATTTTTTTATAGCAACAGTATACCACTGATTTAATAGACAATTAATAGCATTTTCACAGATTTAATGATTTAAAATGTAATTACATGTGGAATTTCAACATAATCGACACTTGGTATGATGTCATTATCTGTTTAGAATCAAATTTAAATGAAAGATTTTGCAGTCAAAGTTTCCTCTATGAATTACAGATACTATAAAATATATTTATTGTATAAATTTTCAATTGACCATCATTGATGGTTAATGAATAATGAATTTGCTTTTAAAAGAAAAATTTAATTAAGAGAGATTATATAAAAGACAAAATTACTGCATAATTGGTTTTAATAACTAAAAATGATATGTATATAATTAAAAAAAAATAGATATTAAAAAAAAATTAGAAAGGTATTAAAAGAAAAAAGTAGGATGGATGAAGAACGGTAAAAGTTCTTGATAGAAATGCCAGGTGAGCACTTATGATTGATGATAGAGCCAAAATGAACTGATTGAATGACTTGAAGTATAAAAGATAGCCATTAGTGAATCCCCTCCAGGCAGGGTTAGTACAGTTATCCACTCCAGCCACCACACAAGAGATCAACAAAGCAAAGGATGGAGCCACACCTTGCACCTCCTCTCCAGTTCAATAGCACCTCAAGTAAGCCAAACTATAAAGCCTTTATCAAATAATAAACGTAGTGTATTACTTAGGACTATATACTCATAAAATAAAGAATATATTTTATTTCATCTCATCTCAATAAAAAAATATATGTTCAGTCAATATTGAATTTATAGATGCATTTTCTAATACGATTAACATTTTATTTACCTTATTAAAAAAGGTGCAGAATTGCAAAAGATTGGGTAAATCCAAATATGAAAAATATTCAAAAAACAATACATAAAATATAAAAATAATTTTGAAATTTGGATTACTATAAAAGGAAGGGGTTTTATAAATTAATAATTTGCCATCATGTATTCTAACTAAAATTCTTTCAGCACATATTCATATTAAATCATAAAAATAAACACACTGTTAACATGAATTAATATGTAGTTTTATCATTGAGGAGTGAGTACTGGGTTTAAGTAGTAACAATAAACAAAGTAACAAATTAGATGAATAGAAGCATGCAATCACATTGGTTCATGAATAAATTCACAGCTTTTTGATTGAGAGATGAGTAAATTTTTTTTTAGCTGAAAGCCATCCTCAGAATTGCACAATCAATTATTTTTTAATCTGATTACTTTATTATGATATATAAAAAAACAGTAAATATATTTCTCAAGGACATACTGACATTAATAAAATTAATATTATTATTTCTTTCTTCTGTTGGCATTACAGACCATGTAGATCTTTTGCCGCTTTAACAAACCTGCTCAATCTCAGACTGTCTTGGGCTATTTCTTTCCATTTATCTGCACGCAGCTCTATTGGATCTTTGTTGATTATATCTATCCATCTGCTTTTTGGCCTTCAATGTGGTCTTTTGCTTTCTATTGAGACATTCATTGTTACATAGAGGCTTCCAGATGGATTGCTATGAGCTATATGCCCCGCCCATCTTAACCTTCATGCCTTCATATAATGGGATATTGATTGACCAGTTTCTGTAAGCAGTTCTTTATTGGTATTTCTTTTCCATGTGTACTCTGATCCCAGATCGCTTTGGTTATCATGGAGGATTTTCCTCTGAAATCTTCCAACATTTTTTTCTAGGGTGCTGGTTAGTGTCCAGTTTAATAAATATAAAGATTAATCATTTTACAACACAGAATAACATATTTTAATGAATCCATCATAATATTCTACATAAGTTTGTTCTCAGTTTCAAGCTTTTTGAAAATATTAATTTAAACAACATTCATTTTTAATTTTTTTTTTTAATATATAAATTGATTTTAATACATATAATAAGAAAACTCTCTCAGTATTAGGTGAAGGCAGAGGTCTAATGTCCAATGCAGGAAACTTCTCGATGACTTTTGTACCATTGATTTCCATAGTAGCAACATTAGTACCTACAATTGTATCGAGAATAAGGACTTTGCGACCAACACCAACAGTTTCCAGTAGAGGTAATTATTTAACTTGTAATGATACATTTGTTCAGATAAATACAAATAAAATAATTTCATATGGTATATATTTAACAAAAAAAAAAGTAGTGGAAGGAATTTGATAAAATTGATATTGGATCATTTACACATTAGTCTTAAATTTTACTATACCATATACAAACATGAAAACAATTAAAGAGGATCAGATATCATAAAGCTGGAGTTAATAAAGATTAAAAAATAAAAAAGTAAAATGTTAACAACTTTTTACTTTAAGAAAATTTCAATTGCAATATTAACTTTACAAATGTAGAATAGACAAGACGTGTCCGTCAGGCGTCTCTATCCTGCGCACTCGCTTTCCAGTTAAGTACACCAAGTAGTGCACGTGCATCGATATTGAATAGATTGTAAAGCTCTGTGTTATGTCTAATCCTCCAATTATGTTCATCACGCACAGGACCCCTGCTCAAATAATGCTAGGGCTCGCTCGTCTCCTTGCGTCATGGTCCATGCTTCGGAGCCATATTATTAAAAATTATTATGTCTAAAAAAAAATTCTTCAAATCTATCAAAACCATTTAATTTTAAAAACTGAATAGATACTGAGAAAATAGTAGTAAGCCTATTGTCAACCTAACAACATTATCATGTTGTGCTATTTCAAAAGAGAAATTAAAATTAATTAATTAAGGAAAAGGCCTTTGATAAGAGGCCCTAGGCTTATATGGTCAAGGTCACAACCATTGTGATCGCTCATACACAGAAAAAAAAAAACCACACACACGCAATATATTAGTAAAATATTATAATATTTATTTAAAATAATTACTGGGATGTTTTCTAAATAACACTCATACACTGGTTTTTTGTTGAATTGGATATGGAGAAGTGAATAGCCTTTGTTATAGTGTGTTGAAGTATCATAAAATGTAATCAGTAAATTGCATAATTTTAAAGTAAAATTTGTGTAATGGATTTTTTAAAATCTATAAATATTAATTTCTTAAGATGTTGAAAGTCTTCTTAAAGTGTAGCACAATTTTCACTATATAAACTGCTTGTGTCACAGTTTTAACCAGAGATTTTCACAACTAATTGGTGTTTCTTTGATCTAGTTTAAGTGCAATTAGAAATATACTTCTGTATTCACTAAAACACACTTATAATCCAATGTTAAAATACTTTCGAGACACCCCCAAAATGCATATTCATATCTTTGGTAAGTTTAATGTTAATGTAGAAACATAATTATTTGCAGTTAATTTTAATTTGTTTGAAACTGTTATAGATTTCAGAAGTGCAAAATATTATGCCAAAGATAGTATTGACTACCAATTTTGCAGTAATGAAGACATTTTTGAAGCTAAACTTTTACCAGGGTTTGATGATATATTTTACGCTTGTAAACCTCATTATGAAACAAAAAGACAGTGTAAATCTAAAGAGGTAATGAACCATAAAATAAAATTTCATGCAATGTTATATAAGTAATAACAAAAATGAATAACCAATTATTGTTCCATTTAGGAATATTATGCAAAGGATGATCTCCAAAGTTTGGAAAAACATAGTGTAGGAAAAATTGTTGGAAAGAATGACTGCTTTTATTTACAAATATACAAGTGTGATGAAGGGTTCAAATTCGATTCAGAAAAAAGAAAATGTACAAAAAAGCAATGAGGTTAAATATAATTTTGATGGAACCTAAATAAATTTTTTTTTTCAACATTTGTTTATTTTTTTTTAAGACAGTTCACATTGTCGTCACCATGGTAAAGTAACAAATGTGAAAAATTACATTTTTCAGATTTCGTTTGTTTACCATTGTACTCCATCCTCACCTTGTGGCAAAATGTCAAATCTGAATGGAGATCTTGGCATTAGTATGTGAGTTTTACGAATTTATAATTTTATAAGATATGTACATGTAGGAACGAATAATTATATCAAAAGTTTACATTAGGTAAATTCACATTCATTACTTCAACATTGTGCCGATGACATGTAAAACAAAATTTATTGTTTAAATCACATTTTATAAGCGACCTATCCAACACTAAAGGCCATATGTATGAACATTGCTGAGGAAGATGTCTCAGGAACTACTAAAGGTCATCTTACTAAAGTTTACTTGTTGTAGCACATATTTAGTTTCTCTAAATAAAATTTTCTGTTTATAAACTAACATTTTTATTAAAGTAGCTGTAATTATTAAGGAAAATACATATTAGATTTAAAAAATGGAATTAAAATTTAATGAAGCTAGTTTCTTAAGAAATTCTGTTTCAACTTCACATTTGATGACTAATCAAAAACTAAGTGTTCTTTATTATGAGGAGATTAATAAATATTATGCACTTCACAATAACACTCGTTTAATTTGAAATATAATTTACCAGATGACAGGTAGTCGCACAGCAGTAATATCATAGGGGTCACGGAAGCAAAGCTCCTAGAGAATAATTACTAGCTCTTTGTTGGACAGGAGGTAGAATAATATTAGGCAAGAAAAATATAAGACTAGATTTTAGTAACTACTGTATCATATTATTTTATATTTATTGTCATGGAAAAGAGAGACTATATAAAAGTGCTCATTGAGACACAGGATTCTACACAGAATGAGGAAGAGCAGGAAATAGCTCTTGAAAAATTGATGAAAAATGCATTTAAAATTCAAAATAATCTGAAAGTCTTTGTGATGCAGAAGAATATAACCTTTAATATTCAGCCTCATATTAAGAGCCAAGTGAAAACCTTGACTGACATTATTGATACATACTATGAAAAGCTTAACGCTGTGGTCACGAAAACCAAAGGACAGAAAATACTGGAAGATGAAGATAAGTGAACTCGCATCAAACCAAAGTACAGACAGTCCCCGTCAAAGACTTCAGTACTCCTTAAAGGAAGGTCTATATGCATTTTTATAAAAAAAAAAGTAAATGTAAATGCAAATACTGCTATTATAAATATATATAAATAAAGACTATCATTATTATTATGAAAAGCTTTAAGAGTATCAGCTGATGATGGAAGAGATTCCAGTTCTAGTGCAACATATAGTGAACGAGATATTAGTTAACCAGGATGTTTACAGCATAATAGCTGCCAGTATGAGAGGATTGTGCCGATGATTATGAAAGTGACAGGTGTGGTAGACTAATTAATCAATCTTTCTTAAAAGGATATTTTCTGTTTAAAATGAAATTATTTCTTGAGAAAAGTAAATAATATTGATTTTATAACGGGCCATAAATGTAAAATTAGATGAAAAAAAGAGACCAAAAATGTCAGATGTAGTTCTTATAAAAGCATAGAAATGTGTTCTGATGTTGAAGTGACATAATTGTGGATCTACATACACTAAAATATTTTTATTAACCACTCTGACAATTTTTTATTTATATAAAACCAATCCATAAGAAACTAAAATGTGATTTTTTTTATGATTCTAAAACTTACTTTGTTCAGACCCAGTTTTAGATAACCATTCAGTCAGAACTTCATCTGAAATAACATTAGGGTATCTTCTTTTCAATACTTTTTTCAACAAATCATTTCCCCTGTTTGTTGCGATATCTCCAGGTCTAAAAAAATAAAATAAAACAAGTAATTTAAATATATTGTATAAGTGTTGATGGACCAAAGTAAAAAAAAAATAAAAGGAATAGGTTGGCGATAATCAATAAATACGGCCAACAGAACATATGTATTATTGATAAAAAATATAATTTAAATAAAACAGAAAATAATAATAATTTAACAAATGATGAAAACACAGTGCATAATATATCCATTGTACCAAATTAATTTAACTTAAATCAAGAGAAACAACAAGTTGGGACATCAATACGGGTTAAGTACCAAACTAAAAAAAATTAATTATACAACTTTTGGCAATACATATATATATATGTACACATCAAAGGGAGAATAGGAGCATAGTGCGTAATTCACTAAGATATTCTGTTTCATCATTAATTGTAAACTATTACCAAATAATTATTCAAATATCAATTATTGTTGCTCTATTATTTTTAAAACAAATAAAAATAATTAATAAATGTTGATTTACATAACTTGTAATGCAAAAAATAAACATCAATCTAAGAAGAAGAAAATAGCAATTTTTTGTGTTATATAATGTACAACAGAATTTTAATAGGAAAAAGAATAGACTGTAAAATAAAATTGAATTGCCATATTTTTATCCTCCCCTCCACCACACTGTCTAGACCAGCTGATCAAAATCAGTCAACTGAATATGAATAATCCAAGTTTTATTGTTAATTAAGAAATAAAAATGAACTTTAAAAGATATTAAAAACAAAAAAAAGAAGACATAGCTACAGATCTTACTAACATAATAGAAATGATTTCATCATCTGCTCGTCGTATTAGTTTGATTAATCCTGGATAGTTCAGTAATAGCCTAGCTACATTCAGATCTGCATAGGAACGAATGGTAACTCTTACAATAGAATCCAGAGCATTTGGCATTTGGTTCAATGCCAATGGAAGAACATCATCAAATGTAGCATCTAATACCTGGTAAAATAGGTGAAAATACTTTTTATTAATATATTTATTGAAATTTACAACTATATTAGTTAAAAATTACAAATACATTTGAATTGATTATGACATGTACAATATGAAGAGAAACTACCTATTGGTAGCACTGCAATGATCATATAAAATGAATATTTTGGTATATGGAAATAATTTCAGAAGCCTAAATTGATTTAAGCAAAATTATTTTTAATCAATATATCACAAAATCTACTAAACTATTTGCCTGTTTTTATATCACACCATAACTATAAAATCATAATGAGATTCCAAAATTTGGAGTGCCTAACTTTATTAGGCCATCATAAATACTCACCACAGCTCTAACATTAGGATAAGCCTCTGCAGCCCAACTTGAAGCGAAGCCACCAATGCTCCATCCATATAAAACAATCTGATCAGGGGCAAAGCCAAGTTTATTTATGGCAAATTCCATTACTGTATTGATTGCTCCTTCTTCATCAGCAACAAATGGTAATCCCTAAAGAAACAAAGCAATCAAATTGAATACAATATCCAGTATTTATTTATGACAAATGTAACAGGAATGTTATATATTAGTTGAATACATCTATCACAATGAAATTCCAATATTTCTAAATTTTGGGTTCTAACTAAATCTTTTTGTGAATAACTTTGGTAACCATTTTCTATAAGTAATTTATACTTACATTATTGTATATAAGATAAAAAATAATTTGTATTCAGAATATATTTCCACAAAAAAAAGTGATGTTAAAGAAACAATTCTCTATTCAACCCAGAAGTCAATTTCATCACTTTTTTATTAAAGCCCCTTTTATCATAGTAAAATTAGCTTTTTAAATATATGAATTCTCAGGATATACTAATTATTAAATATAATAATGGTTTTCGGAGTGATCATTTCTCTCTTCCCAATTAAAATGCTGAGAAGGCGAGAATATTGTATTGCCCCTCCACCTCAATAATTTGAGGTAAAAAAAAATTAAAATCAATAATATAAGCTACACGAATGAATAAAATGTAAACTAAAATCGATTAAGAAAAGTCGACTAGCTGGCTAGGGCCTGGTAGTAGGTATGTAATTATTTTATTGATGATTGATTTTATGATTCAATCACTCCTCAATTTTCATGTGATATTCTTTGTATATTTTCCCTGAATAGTTGGACTATGAAAAACACTTCATTTTCATTTGAGGTTGAACACACTAAGAAATCAAAGATATTTTTCACATTATTCATTTAGCTGAAAAGGTTCTAGAAATGTTCCAATGTTATGAAAGCTGTCTCCCCTTTCTCCTGTTTTTAATATTAACAAATATGTTATATATTCAATTGTATTTTTTTGTAACGATAGTAGGTTGCATCGATGTGACTACAGACAAACAAACACTGAACCAAATTTGATCCTTGATGTTTGAAACGTAAAACGGGAATGGAAATTTTTGATTCTGGACACAAACATTTTTTTAACGTCCCGCACGAATAGAAAGCTTCCTTACCTTCGGTAGTGAGGAAGCAAAAAATAAAATTGTAAATACTAAGCCATTATAGTGAGAGAATGGCATTGTTGTCAGACTGTTCCTGAATAGATATAAGTTTGTAACAATGTTTTCAGAGAGAACAAAGCATTATACTGCTAAAGAAAAATAGAGTGGATTCTGTTCCCACCCATTTCAAATTCCTGTCTAAAACCAGTTTTCCACAAATCAAGACATTAATTTTATCATTTTTCAATTAAATATCCATAGTCAATCTAACCAGATTATTATTCAATCCAAGCTATTTCATAATCCCCAAAAAAGTCAAAAGGAACACAAAATGTAAGAAACATCAACAGTCAAAATAAATTAATCCCAAAAAACAATATGTATGCTGGGAAGAATATTACTATATATAACAAATATTGGTTTTGGAAATGCCATTTACTTTTTTTTTTATTAGTTCTTTGCTTCTCTATTGAGAACAATATTTTTTTATTTTAAGTCAAATATATATCAATCTCTAAATTTTTTATTTTACTTACCTTATAGAACCATATAGTAATCAAAATGAAAAATAGAGCATGCTTAATAGATGAATAAAGAATTTAAAACATTTTGAAACATCTTTTGCCGAAACCAGTATTTTTTTTAACTTATACCATTGCTGCCAATATAGAATATTAGCTGTTAATCTGTTAATTTAGTTCATAAAAAAATTAAAGAACAAATTTTTCAAATTTTATAGCACTAAACAAGGATATTCATACCGTACTGCAACCAAATCCTGGGTGATTCCAACCTAAAACAGAGAATCCAGCTTCTATTGGGGTTCCCATTATTCCATTTTCGTAAAATCCGGCATTTCCTTCTGTACATAAAATTAGCATATTTCCTTTCTTATTTCTGAAAAAAAAAAACAATATATAATATAATAACTATAATAAAAGAAAATTATTATCATATTCAAAGTAAATAAAAAAAAAAAAATCTTTATTATATACAGTTTACATATAATTTAAATTAGGTTTAATTGAAAACTTGAGAGTTGTGAAAGTAAAATTACATGGGTTCAGCTGCAATTTAGATTATTTCTCATTAGATTTATCTCTTGAATACCCAGGTGCTCCTTCTCCAATTGGCATGCCCAGTTGAAGTGGCCCTATTCAGTTTTCCAACAACAATATTTCCTTGTTGCATTTCTTTTCCATACTTTTACAAATAAAAATCTTCTTACCTTCTTGATTTGTTTACTCTTTGTTCCTCTACCCATTCGCTACCTCTCAAAGGACTATTTCCTTTAAAAAATTCTTTATCACACTAGTTCATATGAAGTATGCTACCTAGTTTGTTCAATTTGAAATTCTCTAATCAACTCCATACACAAAATCTCATCCTCAACTTCAATTAAACACCAATTGTTTTTCTATCTTGTCATTTTATGCCTTATTAATGATTAATAATGAGAAATTATTGCAATTTCTATTGTTAAATTTTATTATTTTTAGATCACTCAGAATAAAATTTACTCTTCTTATTCTTAAAAAAAAAACTTAAGTGAAGACTGAGAATTCTTTATAGACTTTTCAGCCAAGTTTAAAGTGATAAAAAAATAAACCTAGCAAATGAACAAATAAAATTAGAGAAAAAATAGATAATATTACACATACCCAACATTATTCCTTTTATCAATGAACATTGTATCAACAGTATTTCCTTCTGGAGTCTTAAGTTTAAATCGTTGCCCATTCTTGTTAATTAGAGCTTTTCTACCATCGATCAGAGCAGAATCTAAAGAAAATGTTTATTTTCTTTAGCATGAAATTTAGTGATGAGATTTTAATAATATAGATTTTTTAAAAGTAAAACTAAATATTAATAAAATAACAAACAGTAATATAGAAAAATGATGGCTTGAACCACCCAAAACATGCCAAGGCCGGATTCAAACCAGCACTGCAAGACTTGAGAATGTTATGCCTATAATATTGCCAAAAGGTTTAACAACATAAGAATCCAGACTTCCAATTTTATAAAGAGGTTCAAAGTTTCAGTTTCAACTGTTTAGAAAAAAAAATTCTGTATTATTCTCTAAGTTAATAGTTTCAGTACAGGCTTCATTTTATGAAAATACCTCATATACAGGTGCATATTTATTTTTAAAAAATTATATTGTTATTTTCTTTAACTATTCACAAGACAACTTCTAGAGTGCTGATTTGAAAGTGAAATATGTCTCTTTAAACCTCAAAGGACTGAAGGAAACTATCACTGATTGGAATTCTCACGGCCGAACACTGCTGTCTGCACTCAATTCCCAACGTTTTAACCTAGTTCCCCCAACCTCACCTACCTACTGGCTCACTGATCCTAACTGAAATCCCGATATCCTTGATTTCTTCATCCACATTGGTTTAGGTTCCCTCAACTATTCCATTGCACACCTCGATGAACTTTCCTCAGACCACAGTCCATTAATATTCCAAGTATCACTAGCTCTTATTCCTAAACCCTCTCCACCGTCCTTTATCAGAGGTCCAGTCAACTGGAAACTCTTCCATCAAATCCTCTCCAAACAAATTGACCTCAGAATAACCCTGAAAACTTCAGAAGACCTTGATAATGCCGTACACTCCTTTACCACCACTATTCAACAAGCAGTCTGGACTGCTTCCTCCCCTAATCATTCCAAAATAATTCCTAAGAAAAATAAGTTACCTCAACAAATCCTCGAGTTAATCCAAACCAAACGCCATACCATAGTGTTATGGCAACGCACCAGACATCCCACAGATCGCCGTTCCTATAATTATTACTCTAAAAAAGTCAAGCAAGAATTATCCAACTTCAAATCCCAATCCTTTAACTCTTACCTTACCTCCCTCTCCGCTCACGACAATTCCCTCTGGAATATCACTAAAAAAATTCTAAAATCCCAAAATATTTCCCATCTCCTCCGTCGAGGCGATGGCTCCTGGGCGGCGTCTGATGAAGACAAAGCTGAGGAATTCGCCAAACACCTCTCCTGTACATTTACTCCTCATCCTGAATCTCATTCCATCCATACAACAAAAGTAGAAAAATTTCTTCCCTCACCAATTCCACTTTCCCTACCACCAAAAGCAGTTCATCCTTCTGAAGTCAAATATCATTTACAAAAATTATCTTTGTAAATTATCTTCTGCAAATCTCCTGGATATAACCTTCTAACTCCACAGATCCTTCATCAACTACCACCCAAAGCGATCATATTCCTCACATATATATAAAACTGCATCCTAAGAACTACCCTATTTCCTCTCTTATGGAAACATTCCACCATCGTCCTTTACCTGGAACCAGCCAAACCTTCCAATAACACATCGCCCTTTTCAAAAATATTCGAAAAAATCCTATTACAAAGAATCCTACCCATAATAGAATCACAAAACCTTCCTACCCATCAATTCGGATTTCGTTTCCAGCATTCCACCGTTCAACAAGGACTCCGAATTGTTGACCACATATCCTCAGCCTTAGAAAGCAAAGAGTATTGCTCGGGAGCATTCCTGGACATTGAGCAAGCTTTCGACCGCATATGGCACACCGGACTACTCTTCAAGCTCAAAACTCACCTATCCCAGTCCTTATAATTAATACTCCGATCCTACCTCTCTGACCGCTCCTTTCGAGTTCGTTGTGGTACAGAATTCTCCAACTGCCATTAAATTGAGGCAGGAGTTCCTCAAGGCAGCGTCTTGGGTCCCGTCCTCTACATTCTGTTTACTGCTGATATTCCTACTCATCCCGAAACACTCCTGGCAACATTCGCTGATGACACAGCTATCCTATCTTCCAATCCAGATCCTAAAACAGCATCCTCAAACCTACAAAGTCACCTTTCTCTTATTGAACATTGGTGTCATAAGTGGTGCATCCAAGTAAATGAATCCAAATCCAAAAACATCACTTTTACCCTTTGGCGCAAGTCCTGTCCACCAGTTTACATCAAATCCATACCACTTCCTCTCTCAGACCCAGTCAGGTATCTTGGCTTTCTTCTAGACAAAAGACTAACGAGGAACCCACATACCAGACTTAAAAGACAACAACTAAACAGACGATTCAGACAGTTATATAGACTAATGAATAGAAAATCTCAACTTTCAGTAGACAACAAACTACTAATCTACAAGACAATCCTGAAACCTATCTGGACCTACGGACTAGAGCTGTGGGAGTTAACAAAACCTTCTAACATTAAGCGCATTCAATTCCTTCAGTCTAAAGTCCTCCGAACAATAGTCGATGCTACCTTCTATTTATCCAACAAAGCCCTCCATAATGACCTTCATATCCCATTTGTTATTTACCTAATCCTAGACAAATTTTCCAAATTTCACCAGAAACTCACTCATCATCCAAATCCTGTAGCACAATCCATCAGCCATCCCTATAATCCTCCCCAGAGGTTAAAACGGCAGTGGCCCCGCGACCTTTTGTAAATATGTATATATTGGAGTACTGGCAATAACCAGATTCTCCACTCATGTCCTGAGCGTCTGCTGCTCTAGTGCCCTCCATCAGTCTCCACTGGCTTGCAATACCAGCGACGCGGCTGGGAGAGAAGCACTGGGATCTCCTGGGGTCCTGCCTTGGCTTCCACATTTGGGGAACAAAGACTCATAATCCTCTGGGCGAATGTAAATATTGTATATAGGTGTGAATGTGTTTTATATATTTCAATTTCATTTAGCTTTTCTCTATTTTTTTTTTTTTTTTACCTTTGTATGTTAAACTCTTTTCTTTTATCTCTATTTCAGTTATCATTTGCAGGTGTATATTGTGTGAATGTTTAATGTAGCACTAATATTAATGCCTTCCAATGTGGCAGAATGTATTAATTTATAAAAAAAAAATTCACTGATTGGAGTTGAAAAAATCTATTCCCACCAAGTATAAGCATCTTGAACCGGAAGGGATAGGAAATATAGAACTTCTAAAACAGAGTTAAATATCCTATTCTTTTACAGAATACCCTTCCATGGAGAAAATTGCAGAATTTTTGGTGGGACCAAAAAGTAATGTTGTTTTCTTACATTAAATTGAAACATAGTTTTTATTTTTAATCAATGATGTAACACCCTCATTATCAACAACCTTTTACCATCTAGTGTGTAAATTTTCAATGCCAGATTGATTAAAAGCTATTGGTTTTTGAGCAATATATATATATATAGATATTTTGGATATCATATAAATTTGCAAATCTTTTGCCACTTAGTAAGTGTTGGAGCAATGGAAATCGGTGCAGCATCCGGCAAGTATGGTGGGTGAAGCAGAACTTTCCACCCCAATTTATTAATTTTTTGTAGGGTTTGCCTTGTGCAGTGTGTTCATACATTACCGTGTAGCAGAGTAACCCCTTTTTTGCTGACAATCACTGGCCTCTTTTCAATGAAAGATTGATTTACAGGATTATCATAGAGGACTCATTTTTCATTTCCGGTGATCAAGCGGTCAAAAAATGCTGCTGTATTGTGTCGTTGAAACAATAAGTTGCATGTGATGGTTTCCCGATCCGCTGTAAATATTCTCAGATAGTAGACAAAGATGGTTAAGACTGTTCGACAACTCCTCGAATGTCTGACATGGAGTTACTTTGACTTCTGTCTTTAACTCATCATCATCTAACGTTGTTGGCCTTCCTGATCGAGACGAGTCAGAAAGATTAAAATTACTGGATTTGAAATTGGAAAACCAACTTTGGCATTAATGAACGTCTAATGCATTTGATAAAAATCACAAATGTTTTTGGTAGGAACTGTTGTGTTACTACTCTTGCAGAACTCAAAAGGCATGTAATGCCATTCACCAAAAACAGCAAAACAAATCTTAATTTAATTATTTACCACTAAGTAACCTTAGAATGTCTTTGCCATGACTTAGGTGTACACAATGAGCAGACAAATGGCGATTAAATACTGACGTGCATACAAACATTACTTTCCGGTCACCCTAATAACTACAATTCTAACTGTCAAACTAAACATAAATAAATAAAGTATTAAAACAATGAGTATAACTTACTAAGTAACATGTTAAGAAGAGTAATTGAACCAGGATAGATCATTCTAATCCCAACGGTATGAAGCACTAAATATCCTATTATTGAACAAGGACTACTAATTAGAGAAGAGAATATACTTTTCTTGGGTTCAACTTTTTTGGAAGTTCTAAAAAATATTAAGAAAACAATATTACTCCATAATAACAATATTCACTAAGGAAAAAAATTAATAACACTGAATATATACCGTATAGGTAATTGAAATTCTACAGGCCAGGCTTCAAAATCAAAATCAAATTGTTTAATTTCACCCTAAAACAAATATATTACACACATAATATTAATTTAACTATTTAAATAATTTTAAAATAACATATACATCATTGTACTAATATTTTTATTACTTGCAATAAACAGAGTTCAATTTCTTTATTGCTTTTTTATCATATGCTAAGGTTAATTTAAATTTGAAGTGGATAATTACTGAATCAGATTATTTCTATACATGACTATTAAGCCTAGTACACACTAGTAGACATTGTTGCGTGATTTGTCTATAGACACCATTCTGTCTTGTCTCCATACATCCATATTATAGTATGAATTTCTCAGTCTCATCTTCGCAGTCCATCATAGAGACATATTTTGGTATGGAACATGTTCATACTTCGAGCTAATTACAAGTGAAAATGTAAACATTGGTGGATGCGGAAAGTGCTCACAGAAGGATCTAGGTTTGGTAATACTTTATTAAATAAATTAAAACTAAGAGACACTACGGTACTCTTCAATTAGTTTTAAAATTTTCTCATTAGACCAAAATTTTTCCAAAAAACTAAGACTTTGGAAAATAACTGTAAACAGCTGAACCAACCACTCATTAGCTGGAGGGAGACTGTAATGTATCTTTCCTCTAGATGCCAAGTGACATCCACACTATCAAAATGTGCAACATGTCTAACATTGGATAATGTCTCCCATTTCAATTGGAGGATTTTAGACTAAAATGTTTGGTCACACAACAGTCCTGTAGACGGGAATGGGTCCATAGACAAACTGAGACTTGTCTCAGAGACCAAAATTGTGCAACATGACTACTATTGTGGATGACAGATTATTATGGTTTATTACACAGACAACTAATTTTTACTTTCCAACAGCTTTTTTTTTGGGTCATACATGTTTTTTGGGTCCTCCCCTTTCTCACCGTTAAGGCTATACGGGGTTTTCCCAGACCAGGGAGTGTGGGAGGGGATTTAAAAGACTCCCTCGGCGCCGGGACACGAACTCGTGACTATTTTTATATCATTTGATTCATATATCAGGTTGCCGGGCAATGATGGTGCTGTGCACAAGCGTTAGCCCATTCGGCTACCCCGCCCACTACTTTCAAACAGCTACTAGGTAAAGAAATTACTGTAATCAGATTGAATTTTTGAGATGCAGTTCTCAACATATTTTCTGTGTATCTCTTGAATTTGTGGAATTTGTAAGGTGTCGCCCCCTTCCCTTTCTCCTTCCCCCCCTTGATGCCTGTGAACTAAATCAAATATCCTGTGCACAATAGCCACTGCAGAATATGTTTTCCTGTAGACTGTTGTACCCAATTTTGTGTAGAATAGAAGTACTGATATAGTGCCTCCTGAAGAAAAAGTAAACTTCTTAGGCTTTCTCTATTGGACTCCAGAGTAAAGAAAAACCTTACCATGAGGGAGCCTACTTAGAGAATGGATAGCAGCAATGATCATACTGTCAACATTTTATAGAAAAGCCCAGAGATAAAGAAGAAAGAAAAAACATTCTTTTTTCCAGTTACCATCTCCAGTGAATCCCTGGATCAGAAAAGAATAAAATGTGAATCTAAATACAGGATATGAAAATAAAGATTTTAGGAAAACAGAGGTGAAAACTTTAGGTGAGATACAATAACATTATGATCAATCTTGATGTAAAGATACTGAAGGAATTCTCAGAGGGCTGCTGCATATGTCTGTGCAATTGGAAATTAAATTAGAAAGGAGAAACATTTAAGGATATATATATATATATATATATATATATATATATATATATATATATATATATATATATATATAAAAAAAGAGGTTTGGAAAATATTAAGATTCAATAGAAGTCTCACAATGGACCAGATTGTGGAGAACATGTTATCAATTACTGATAGTGGTTCGTCAAGTGTTCTACACATCATGGGTGATTGATGATTAAGACGTGGTAATTTTTTTAGAAAGTTGTATTGCCCACGTATCAATTCAAACATGTGGACCATCATCAGAGCTGAAAAAGTAACATCAGAGATAGAAAACTATAGTAGTTTTAATAGTTAATGAGTACAGAACCAGAAAACCTGGGTCAATACATAAATAATGAAAAGTTGTGGGAAAATATACATGCTAGATATAATAACTAAAATTACTGACCAAGTTTAAAGTGCAGAGGATCTTAAAACATGGATGGTTTGAGAACTTGGTTCAAAAGCAAAAAAAACAATCAGCTGTGGAGAAGGCTTATCTAATCATCGAAGCACTTAATTGATATAATTTAGCCCAATGAAGGCTTATTTATTGAACATAAATTTCAGTTCATTATTTATCAAATACCCACTTCTACATGTTCGATATAAAGCATTTAGGAAAAATAACGAGAAATTCACTATATAGCAGTTAAGAGTCAGTTGCTTGTAACTATGACATAGTTACTAAAGCTGTAATACTGGTGTTTAATGATTCCCAAGAAACATATTTTTATGGCACACACAACATATACTTATTAGCAACATTCACAACAAAAATAATGACAATTTGCCAAATTTAAATTTAAAAAAATAAAATGTACTAGTTCACTACATTAGTTAGCTCCATCTGGTTGATGTTTGGGCCAAGATAACTTTGATCACGCTTGAACATGGAATGTCAGAAATAGAGGAATGTTCGATAATGTCACTTTGTAATTTTACCAATGTTTGTGTTAAAGCTAGAATATATTTTTGTAGTATATTAACCTTTTGCTAAAGGGTTAAATACTAAATTGATGTTATATCGATTTAGTATTTAATCTTTTCTCTAATGAGTCATATGTTTTTTCAGTTATTAAGACCACAAATGTAATCAGAAAGAATAAATGGAAATTGTCCATGTTTGATTTACATTGAAATCAATGATACATTACAATTTTATTCTTTGATCTGAAGGTTTTTATGATAGATTAAGTTACTTTGCATACTTATTATTCTTGAATACTGAAATAATTACGCTAAGTTATGTTGTATTTCATAGTTTCATTTAAAAAAATTATAGAGAATAACATATTTTTTTTTTTTTTGGCTGAGGTAAGTCCTACAAATGGTCTTTGAAAGAACCTAAAAAGAATATCAGAACACGGAGTCATAATGTTATAGTACACCTGCCCGGCACAAATCAGCCAATTACCAAGAAAAAACACCTCTCGAAACATTTTCTTGTTTTTTTCTGACTCAATGTTAGAGGAAATAGTAAAATTTATGAATCAGGAAATTCAGAGAGTCCAAGTAAGTTATATGAGGGACAGGGACACAACTGAAACCAATATTTTTGAAGTAAAGGCTACTATTGGTTTAGTATTTATGACAGGTGTTCTGAAATCTTCTCATACTAACATCATTGAATTATAGGATAAATACGGCAGTGATATATTCAACTGTACCATGTCTCAAAGGAGATTCTTTTTTATTCTATGCTGTATACGATTTGATACTAAGGTAGACCATGAAGGAAGAAAAAAAAATGATAGGTTAGCACCAATACGAGATATTTTTGAGGAATTCAATAACAATTGTAAAAAAACATATACTACATCTGAATATGCCACCATCGATCAGCAGTTATGGGCATTTAAAAGTAGATATGGTTTTAGACAGTTTATAAAATCTTAACCGGCTAAGTACGGCATAAAAGTGAATAGTCTAGCAGATTCAAAATCTTATTATGTGAAAAATACGGAGATTTACTGTGGACGATAACCCGATGGTTCTTTGGCGTTATTGAACAGTTCTTTTGAATTAGTAAAAAGATTTGTTAAACCTATAGTGAATACTGGACGTAATATTGCTTTTGATAATTGGTTTACTGGAGTTTCTTCTAAAACAATGTAAATTAACTGCAGTAGGAACGCTAAGAAAAAATAAAACAGAAATTTCCCCATCCTTCATACAGACCAAGGACAAAGACCAATATTTCAGTCATTTCGCTTTAAGCAATTGCGGACTCACTCTAGTTTCTTATGTACCTTAGAAAGGAAAGGTTGTTCTTTTAATTTCAACGCTTCATAACCGAAAAGAAAGAAATTAAGAAACTGATGACTAGATGAAGCCAGAAATAATTACATTCCAAAATCATACTAAGGGTGGGATAGACATGGTGGGTCAGTTGTCAAATTATTCTGTGGCAAGGAAAACCAATTGGGGACCTCTAACTGTTTTTTTAACCTTCTAAATATTGCTGGGATTAATGCTCAAGTAATTTACTTTTTTAACACTCAGAAAAAAATGTTGAGGAGGCTTTTTCTGTGCAAATTGAGCGAAGCCCTCACTGAGCCACACATCAGGATGTGTCTTTAAATAGCTCTCTTCCCAGAGAACTTCTTTCTAGAATTACTATGTACATTGGATTTATTGACCTGAAAATCCTTTGGAAACTGAAGAATAGCGAACAAAAAAAAAAAAGCAAAGATGTGAAATTTGTTCTAGAAAATTTGACAAGAGGGCGAGAACTCGCTGCTCGAAGTGCAAAACGTTTACCTGTGGAAAAAATGGGATTTTTTTCTGCAATCTCTGTGCAAAAATATGATTTTTTTTATTTTCACTATAACCTGTATCCACAATATAGCCAGTTTCTTTGTTAGAAATATCTTTATTTACAGTAAATATTTAATGGAAATAAATCGGAATATTTTTTTCAGCTTTAGGTACTTCTTCAAAATAATTTTTCTATCCTAAAATATATGTTAAGAATCCAAAATTGTTTTTTAAACTCATTAACAGCTCAAATAAGTATTAAATACGATACAAATAAAATAAATATTTTCAGACAGTGAAAAAAAAAAAAAAATTGGGGTCCATCAGATCCCCGGGACTGGTTAGGTTTATCAAAAGTGAACGACCACTATGGGGTAAACATTAGCTTTGGTCAGAAGCATCAAACAGATATTCTCAGAAGTACAAGCACAAGTGTGATCAATGTGATCTTGGTAAGGAGCCCTAGTGAACTAGTAACAAAGTAATGAATAATAAACTTACAAGACCTCTAGGAGTTACAGCATTATTTAATTTTTCGAGGAAAAACCTATATTGAGGATTAGAAGCTCTTCCATAGCTGCGCAGACAAAATGAAGCTCCAATAAATAATCCGAACCATAGTGACATTTTTGTAAGTGATGCAGCACCTTCCATATTCATATAGCCTCTTCGATAAAAAAATATTGCTATTAGAGGTGTGGTGAAAATACTGAGCTTCCAAAATATTACAACCTATAATTAAAAATTATTAAATGTAACATAAAGTATCATCATTATATTATAGGAAAAATAAAATCAGTTTACTTACGCAATTCAAAGAAAAATCACCTAATCTCTCCCATCTGTCTCTTACATATTTTCCCTAAAATAAAATTGATTTTTAATATTGAATATAGTATTTCAATAAACATAAATGAAAAAATATTACCGAAAAATTAGAATCCTGATAAATCATATGAAGAGAAGGTGAATTAAAACATTTTAAGAACATTCTCAAGTGTGACATATTGGAATTAATATAAAACTAAGAAAATCTTAAAATTATATTACAAAAGAATATTCGTCAAAATATTTATGTCATTCAAAACAATTTTATTTATCACTATTTGCCATTATTATCAACCAACTGTTTTGATCTGCATTGAAACCTACCAGTCACTCCAGTGTTGCCTCAAGTTTAAACTACAAATTGCTTCTAAAAAAAACTGATAAATTTTGTTTACTATAAACTGTTCATAGACTCAATCTTGTTTTTAATTTTTTCATATTATTAACAAATTATTTAATAGTTAAAATTTTCTATTTTTAACGAGTTAATAATTTTAAAAAGTTATTGCTTTTTTGATGAAGATCGGTTTCCTTAACGTGAAATAGTTACAGGAATATTAAATAAACCTCTCAAAATACTTTAATAATAATATATAGTTAGTTTCAATATATTTTTCCACATTTAGGTTAGAAGAAACTTTACCTCGTTAAGCCGCGCCATATTTAGCAAGCATTGAGTGTGTTAAGAAACAATCGTTTCTTTGGTTATCCACACAGCTGACAGCCAAATTCGTGGTGTGGGAACTGTTCTGGGTTAGATAAAATGTGTATACGTGTGCCTTAATATTAGTGAATATGGCTACTAAGCAATCCGAAGAAGCACAAGAAAATACTTGTGTTGTATGTTTTAAAGGAGTGGACATTTATTCTATTGGGCAGTGTGATCATCCTGTTTGCTATGAGTGTTCCACACGCATGAGGGTACTTTGTCGTCAAAATGAATGTCCAATATGCAGGCAGGACATGCCAAAGGTATTAGATAACAAGAACTGTAATTTACAAAATTTTTGATTGGTGATTGGTTTGTATTGTCAAATTCCTTATGGTAGAAATTGACTATCATGTTCCATTTCACATGACCCTATCATTCTTTAATTAAAAAAAAAACAATAATACATTTTAAAAATTTGCATTTATAATGTCATTGTTTGATATGAAATTTATGTTTTCTATTGCTTACATTGACAAATAAATTTACGGTAATATGTTCAAAGTTATATTTATATTTGACTCGGTAATCAACAGTCCTGTATTTTTATTTTTTACTTACCTTTTAAATTTAGTTGTAGCATCTTTATAATTTTGTAGCAAATTGTCAAGTTCTTTGTTTGATCATATAATCAATTAAATGTCATTCAATTCAAATTCAGAGTTATTTATATTATAATGATTCCCATTTTTTATATTCCCTTTTGCTGTGTTATAATTCTGAAATATTAACAGTGACCTAAGTAATTTGACTGTTATTTATTTCACGTAATGAATAATCATTGCATGATACTTGCCATCGATTGGTTCTTTTTGTGGTGAAATAATCTTTTCTTAAACTTTTATAATTATAACTATAAGGCTCTTCCCTCAGCAAATCTTTCATAACTTTAAAATAAAGAAATATTGTTTTTCTTATTTATTTGTTATTACCTGACATTGTATTTTGTGATTGTTTACTCCTAGAACCATTCTACAGTTTAAACACAATTGAGAAATTTAAATCCACCTTTTTTATTAGATTTTAGAGTGTATCACATTGTATTCCATATTAATATGTGTAGCTCTAAGCATCTTTAGTGGACATAGAAATGGGATTTAAGATTTTTAATCTTGTCTTTTATTAAACAATTCATTAGTTTTTTTTTTTGTTTTTTTTTGTCATTTAGCTATTTTGTTATGAAAATAACTTTGAAATATAACATCTCATAATTATCTTTTAAACTTTTAAATAATGAAATTTGTTTTTTTAAACTAATTTTTACATATTCAAGTTATGTTATTTAAATCTTTGACATTATGCGTCTTCTTTTCTTTCTTCAAACCTTACAAAATATGTACTTAATTTTTTCATTAGAACTCATATCAGGATAATGTTGTTAGATTTAAACTGTTTATTCAATAAATTTACATGATAAAAATGAAAAGATCTTCACCTTTTAAAAGCTTCAGGAAAGTTAGGCAGTTAAAGAATAACTTAAATAGTTGATCACACGTTTTATTGGACTCTTCTCTGTTTTAATTATTTAAAAAAATTATGCGTCTTATGTGATTCTTATTGCAAGGATTTTTTTTTTCATTAATTGTTTATTTATTTTCCTCTGAAATAAGGAATATTACTGCAAATTGATTACTTAATGGTGAATTGTCATTTTTATTGAATTTTGATTAAACTCTGCTTGATAAGATTACATAGTTCAGAAAGTAACAGGTGAAAAGTTAAAATAACAGGCCAGATCCATTAACTAGTTATCATGTGTAAATAGAGTTGGTTAAGATAGCTATTACTCCATTACTGTTGGCGATAAGCATTATTTTTCGTATCAGTTATTAATTTGTTATAAAATCGTATCAGTTATTAATTTGTATTTATTTTACCAAAACATCTGTTCAATATAAAGTAAATATTCCTTACACTAAGTTCTTAACAACTAATTTTATTAAAATTTCTATTTACCTTTTTTTTTTTCAGTAGCTTATGCCTTAAGGTTTAAGAATGTATATAATTGATATTCCTCTTTTGATGCTATTTTCTTTGATATTGTATATGTTTAAAAAAAAAAAATCCTATATATTAATATTAGCCCTTGCAACATCAAGTCCAAATTGTGGAATGAAAGAAAATTAACCTTTTGATTATTTTATTCATTTTTATAAATATCAACTATTTAATTCTAATGCAAAATGTTAAAATAATATTTCATCTGAATTATAAAGGTTTTATAAATTCTTTACCTTATTCACTTTTTTTTTCTGCTAAAATATTGCTTTCCATGTTATTTGAAGCAGAGGAGGGACAATTTTTGTTCTCCATCCGCTTGAAATTAACCATTACTGTAATATTAAATTGCTGAAATATTAGACTATTTACTACTGATGTTTTCTTGCTAAATAAAAAAACTCAATGAATAAATTACTTTATCCATCCATCTAAAATGGTTTAACACTTGGAGAGGTCAGATTTTTAATAAAGCTTCTGAATTCCATTCAGTGAGCTTATATTAGACGCAATCCAATGAACAATAATTGTGTTTTAGTTTTTCATTAGCTAATGCATTAAAATATAGTATAAAGTCATAAGATAACTTAAAATAGAAGAAGCACTTATTAAGCCGACATTTCTACCCAATTATGCAGGTCTTCATGGGGGCTTGAACAGACAAGATACAAAGGCTGTACAAAACTGTAAATGTATTGAGAACATTTTAATGTAAACAGTAAACAGAGTAAAACCCTCAAAGCAATCAAGGACATTCATATGTGGTCGGCTAAAAAACTTTTCTTTCCCATTAACAACTTTTTTTAAATCATTCACTGGTTGTTTTTTTCTGCCAATGGCTTTAGTCTGTCTTTTTTCTCCATATACCTCAATTAACCCCTTTCTTAGAGCTTTCTTCACTTTACATCAACTCCTACAAGGTATCAGACATTTTGACCTAACAAGAAAATACCGTGGAGAAGGACTCTAAGAGAATCACTTTCTCTAATACCACCTCGGTTTCCTGTGAAAACAGCGTCATATAACCTCAACCTTATTAAAGCCATTAAATAAGAAGAAGTTATACCAGAAGAACTAAGATCCTTGGCTCTTGAAACGATTGCTGAACGTTGCCCTCTGTGGATTCATGTGTACACCGATGGGTCTGCTGAACTAGCAATACACAATGTAGGAGCAGGTGCATTTTCTCAACTGTTGCTATTTCGAAACTGGTTGGGAATTGGGCCTCAAATTTCAACAGCAAAATAAGAGCAATTTATAGCTAAGCAGAAAATGAAATATATCAGAGAGCCAAAAAAGAAATAAATAAGGTCCGTGAGGCTCTATTACTAGATTCCGTAAAGAGCTGTATTACGGAAAAGCAGTGGCGAAATTAGTTTAATGAAGCGAACCGAGTTCCCATGAGCCGAGATAATAACAGGCCACGACCACCCTAGGAAGTATATGCATAGAATAGGAGTGGCAGACTCCACATTGCAACCTATGTAATTCGGGAGCACATATTGAGGCAGCGCATTTAGGTGTATACTCGCACTTGTTGAACATAAAAGATACCACGTCGTCCAAATCGGAATGGTACTGGGCTACAGTATCTCTGATGGCGGAAGCCGATAAAGAGAGGCATAGTTAATAAAAAAAGAAGAATAACCTAACAAGTAATTAACATCTTCTATTTTCATAATTTCTGATGCATCGGCATGGCTGATATCTCTATATTAAAATCTGATTAGCAATGAGCAGTTTTTTTAAAGAGCACATCAATCAATCAAAATATAATTCCATGATTTTTTCAACACAATGTTGAATGATCTTTCTAGAGATCCTTGCCTTTCACATAAAATTAAACATTCACTTATTATTGCATTTTAACTTTTAACTTAGTCAATTATAAAATAATATAGACAACACTTCTTGGTTTGATGACTCTTTGCTTTGTAAATATTCGCTATTTATAGTCACTTCTTATCTGATTTAAGAACATTTTGGCCATCACAATTCATACCATATGTTGACTAGAGATGAACTGAGCACTAGACTAGCATGTAGAGAATGGGCATGGTATGGTACGCTGTGACCTGCATGTACTGACTGGCAAGCTTAGATGTGCTACTTCAAGCTTTTTTATGCAGCACATATTCTTTTCTGATAGTCAAAACTAATGAAAGATATTTCTATTAATTTTTTGTATTAAATACAAGTATAAAAATGTACAATCAAAAATTAATTTATCGAAAAATAAGAGACTTATGTATAAATCCTATCATTGAGAAAGTGTTTTGGCCAACTTGATTAAAGCAACTTTTATTTCGAGTAATGAATAAATTATTGTGATTCTGTATATGTGAATAGCAAACAAATTTAATTAAAAATATTATTTTTTTGCTGTTGCCCTACTCATTTTAACCTCTTTGCCTTCATATCCTGTGAATTTGATTTACCAGTTTCAGTAAGTAGGTCTTTATTAGTTTTCTAACTTTATGCTAATTGCAGATTGCTCTAGTTATCGTTCAGAGGATTTTTCTTTCAAATCTTTCAATGCTTCTTGCTTCAATGTTAGGGCCAAGGTCTCAAATAATTGGGTAAAAGAAAAAAAATATTAAAAACAAAATAAAACTGTATATGTGCTTCTTATTGTTTTAATTTAATGTTTTCAAAATAAAACAATTTAAAATAAATTAAAATTTATTCTTATAGGTAACAAATAACAAACATTTTGTTAAAATATATTCATTATTGCATCATTTTTTTTTTTTTTTTTTTGGTTATGTCCAAATATTTTTTCTAACCAATGGATTGAAAACATTTAATAATTATTTATTGAAGTAGTCCTCCTTTCCTAATTTATACTTCAGCTCTCTAGACCTTGAGCTTAGCTCTATTTTTGTATCTCATAGTTTAGGGTGAAAGAAATAACTTTAACCAATATATTAGGAGCCACCTGTTTTGTCTTTTGTAGGATTTAACTTCAAAGTCAAAATAGCATGACTCTATGGAGTCAGTTTTGGCATCTACCTTTACTCCAGGAATATTTATTCATTTATTTTATTTCCTCTTTTTTTTTTCAGTTCTGCATTCTCATCATGATATTGATTGACCCCTTTTCCCTTAATTTTAACCTGGAGACATTTTGGATTATTTAAGGTTGTAATTATGACACCTCACTTAGAGTTTTATGAATAGTATTAAAATTAGGGAATTTTTCCATTATTAAAATTGTGTAACAAAATTATTACATTGAATTAAACTCTCCATTTATTTTTACATGACTGCATTTTGTAATAGTATTATTATACAATTTTTTAATGTTAATTTTTTCATTCAATTATCAATAAATCATTACTTTTTTCAAATTTATAATGTGTATTAATTTTATCTATTTTTGCAGGTTATCTTTACAAAGGTAATATCTCCTTATAATTCATTAAAAAACATCAATGGAATGATCGACAAGAAATTTAAAATAGTTTTTGAAACTGAAATAGAAAAAAATGCATATGATGTATTACTTGCCCATGAATGTCCTAAGTGTTCCAAGGTTTTTGTGAGCTTCGTTTACCTTCGAGATCATGTTCGAAGAGTTCATCAATTAAATTATTGTGACCTCTGTGTAGATAACCTGAAGGTATGTTGAATAGTATTATAATATTCATATAATTTTCATTAATTTAGTGTCTTGATGGAATGAGAATAGCATGAATTGTTGTTAGTAAACACTAGTTGATTATTCCATTCCATCCTTGCTTTCATGAACTAGTAGAGCTAGTTCACCTGACTTAATTGAATCCATGTCAATATTGGCCAGGCCAAAGTTTTATCCCAGAAGTTTTCTGGTTATTTAGATAAAATATCCTTTTTAAATAACTATATTTCTAAAGATGACTGACTATATGGACTAATCAATCTATGTAACACAATTATCTACAGTCTGTTGGACTTAAAGGGGAAAAAAAAAACATATAGGAATCTGTCAGAAAAAAATAGTACTGTTAAGTTTTCATGTTTTTGAGGACTGTTCCCAAACTGAGTACTTTGTGAACTTATAACCAGCTATAGTTACCGACTGAAAAAGGAGTTTTGGAATTTAAGAATATAAACAGCACTTAAATACTACCTGTCTTCATAATACAGTAAGGTGTCAACCAATCAGGAATATGTTGGGGATTAGTTATTGCTGGGTAAAATTGGAAATGCACAGACATTTTATGTAATTCAGGGAAGTTGTTATGAGTTTTCAATTTTAATGTGTGCCATCAATTTCAATTGTGGGTTAGTGAGGTTATCTTAGTCAATTAGTGTGACAGTTTTTGACTTAACTATGGCAGGCAATGGAAATCTCCTAATATCATTTTAGTAAACTTTACAATGGAAAATAACAGTTTAATAACTAATAGTCCTACAATTGATAATCATTTATAGGTTAAATATACAGATGTGCTTTCAAATCTCTTTAGGCATACATGAGCCTTTCGGTTGACAGAATGACTAACTCCAATTTCTTTTTAATGTATTGGATTTTAGTATATGTTTTTAAAAAATATTTATTTGCTTCATTTTTCCTCACCTTTATTTTTTATTGTACCTGTTTTTTGTTTTGTTAAGATTTATTCTCGAGAAAGAAAATGTTACACTCGAGCTGAATTAAGTCGCCATAGAAAAGAGGGAGATCCAGATAACAGATCTCATAGAGGTCATCCTCTTTGTGAATTTTGTGATACACGCTATATGGACAATGATGAACTTTATCGTCATCTCAGGAGAGATCATCTCTTTTGCCACTTTTGTGATGCTGATGGTCTCCATCAATATTACAGGTAAGTTATGAATATTTTTTTCAATATTAGCAACTATTTATTTGATATAAATTATTCCAGAAATTTTCTGATTATATCAATTTATTTCTAATATTAAGGAAAAAGCCAGTAAAATATTCATTAGATTTTTTTATCTAATTCATGGTTTAAAGAAAAAACATTGTCAACATAATTTGAAATTTTAGATCGACCAACTTGTTTACTTTCTACTTTTTTTGAACTTTTATTATATTTAACCAATTTACATTCTCTTCCTATAGTTGTCAGTAACTGAGTTAACTGCAAGTATGTTCAGACTCGCAAACTTTCAATTCTCTTTCCTCATTCAATGAAAGTATTGCTCTTATCATGGCTTAGAATAATCTTTGTAATGACTGAAGTATTGTAACTGAAATATTTTATTAAAAGCGGTATCCATTTTGATAAAAGGTATTTAGATAAAATATCTTTTTTAACTAACTTTGCTTCTAAAGATGACTAACTATATAGTCTAATCAATCTATAAAAGATAAATATCTACAGTATGTTGGACAATTTTCATACTTCTTTATTTTTAGTTAGGTTAATAATATTTTTTTATTTACTAATTTTATTTTATTTTTTTTTAGTTCATACGATTTTCTGAGGGATCATTTTCGATCTGAACACTATTTATGTGAGGAGGGTGATTGTTTTAATGAAAAGTTTACAGCTGTTTTCAGAAGTGAAATAGATTTAAAAGGTGATTCATGATCTTTTCAGAACTTCAACTATTATGTGTGTAGTATATATATATATATATATATATATATATATATATATATATATATATATATATACACACACATACAGATATACGTATATTCATGTATACATATTTAATATCATGTACATATACATAATATATAAGTAAATCTTATGTTTTTCAAGCTATTTTGATAAGTAACAATTAATTAATTTACAATTTAATCATTATTTTAAATTACAATAGTTGCCTTGTGGTTTTTACACTAATAAATATGAGAGGGACCCAAAGCTTTCAGAATAGGGGCTGTGGTGGGGAGAATGAGTGGCGTATCATGTGTTTGGATGGAGGTTCTGCAGGGAACTTCTTCTGAGTCAGTGTGCGAAGCCTGGTCACTGTGAGTGCTTCTGTTCGTGTATGAGAATTTTTTTAGTAAAACAACATTTTTGATTTTGACCAAAAAGATGGCTGATTGCCAAGAGGAAGTTGTAGCTGTGAACATTTTCTTTCTATTGGGTTTACTTTTTATTAACATAAAAGTGGGGAAGTGAGTTAGGTTGATGTTGAGTGCTTACCTCCCGAATCTCTTCAAATCCAGTTTAAATGTTGGTTTGGCACAATAGATGTTTTATTCAATGACTTCATCAATATGGCAACCTTGGTTTGATGAATTCTTAGTCCACATAACTCTATAAGTATCCAAAATGAGGCAGGGCGAAAGGGCTCAGGGCTGACAACTTTTCCCCTGATAGTATCTTGTGGTCGATAATTACCCCTTCCACCACCAGTGCTTGTTCCTGTACCTAGGCTTTTTATGAGCTATTGTGGGTGTGATTTAACTTATTTTTATTATTGGTTGTTAATTTTCAAAATTTTGTTATTATCTTGATTAATCTAAATAGGCTGTTACATCATTTGAGCATATACTAATTCACTTATTACTTTTTCATTGTTGTAGTTTTATTATTTGAAACAAATTTATTTAATGTCAAATAAAAGAAGTTTTATTGTTTTCCATTAGCCCACAAAGCTTCTACTCATGGTAAGGAGCTAGGGAAAGCAGGACTGAAGCAAGCAAGAACGTTGAAATTGGAATTAACATTGACACCTCGTCCTAGACCCCTACATACTAGGCCACCAAGGCATAGGTAAACAGTTATTAACATATGTATTTTATTTATTCATTTGCAGAATTTTAACTCTTAAAGTTCCATAATCATACCAAGGAATGCAACTACTGTGGATGTCCTAATTAATCTATTTTCTTATTTTGTTGTGTAAAAGTAGATGCAAAATTATTTTTTTATTTTTTTTTTTTCCAACTTTGTGAACTATGGGAAAGACATACATATCCTTGCTGTTCTCAACACCCTGAGCATTAACCCCAGATAGGTGACAAAGAGATTTCAAGAAAAGCCTGTGAGAGTATGTTGTAGCCTGTTTTAACTAGTTTCATTGATACTATGATGATTTTGATATCACATGATTTTTTTTCTCATAGTATTTTACGAATAGATTATTTGTGGTGACCTGTCATCCCAATTACCTGTTACCTTACTAAGGTATCCCATTAATGTTACCTTCATTGTGATAAACAGTCGATATTAACACTAATCAGTTCTATTTACTTGCATGGACAATAGTTGTTATAAAAAGATCACACATTATTACTACCTATCTTAATGGTTAGCAGTGCCAACTGAAAAAAATAAAGTAAAAATTTAAGTAAACTTGTGCCATCATTAAAGTGGTTCGGGTTACAGCCTTAAAAATATTATTTTGTATTTATATTTTGTGTGTTGTATAATAAAGGCTTTGTTTAATTCTTATAATTACTTATTGATTGGATTTATTTTAAATGAAATGCTGCAACAATTTAAACTTTTTATTTGAAAATCAAATCACATTAAACTTTCATTCGGTTTCATAATACTGGTTTAAACTGCTACTATAGCAAAAATTATGTCATGTAGAGAAGAGGTAGTGGATATTCCTGAAAGTGCTGGTGCTGTTGGAGGTGCCTCAGAAGAAGAAACAGCAAAGAAAGCTCCTGAGCTGAAAAGAGAAGAAGATTTTCCTGCTTTAGGTTCTGATTCATCCAGCGCAAGCCTAAGTCTAAGAGTTACTTCTGTAAAACAACCGTCTCTTTCCATTCAGGTATCTTTTCTTTTCCGCATTTGTTGAATTTATGGGTTTCTACTAAATTAGTTTTTTTTTGTCTAGTTTTTACAGTAAGAAAAACGGCTGAAAAGTTGATAACTTTTATATTAACCATATATATTGCTATTAAGTATACACAAGCAAGAGATATATATCTATCTTACTTCATCCTAATACATTAATAAATTACTAACCATATCTATGTATATTACTAAATGTTTTATTGACATTGTATTTCAGGTTAACCATCCTAGGTTCACAACAAGAGTAACATCTCAAAATAATTACAATTACCATTTTCCTGCATTGGATAATGCTTCTGGTGGTGAAGCTGCTGCAACTTCAGTATCATGGTCAGCCTGCTCTGGAGGCGGTGGAAGACGGCCTGTGGATCAAAAGACTAATTGTAATCGCCCACCTCCAGAAGATTTTCCTAGCTTATCAGCTCCACCAAAAAGTTCCACCCCTCGAATTTCAACGGGAGTTGGCACACAGTCAGAACCTAGTGAACCAGAACCCCACAACCATCAGCTACAGCAACAGCAACCTTTCAAAACCAAAAAGAAAAAATCTAAATCTGGAAAAGGCGGAGGAGAATCAAAAATGACCCCTGCACCTTCATCTAGCCAATCATCTGTAAATGGAGAATCTAAGTCAAAGAAAAATAAAAAAGATGTGAAATCGACACCTAGAATCGAAAGTTCTTCCCTCATAGACAACAATATTGAAAATATTAATAATAATCACAGTAAATCAGAAAATATTTTGAGGACTGTTTCAATTGTTCCAGAAAATGTTTCACCTGTCGAAGTTAAAGAGGTAATTATTTTTCATCAATTTTCGCAATTGTAATGTTACTATCAAGAATATATTTACATTTTGATAAATTCTGATGTCAATATATATATATATATATATATATATATATATATATATATATATATATATATATATATATATATATATATATATATTGACATCAGAATTTATATATTGATTTATATATTGATTTTTTTGTCTTAGCCACAACTCTTAGACCTGAAATTGGCTTATTTTCACTTTGAATTTGACATGCCCATTCAGGTCTTTGTATCAAATTCATTGTATATTGAATCCTTCATTGATTTTATTGCTACTTTACTACAAACTTCATTGCTTTTATAGACATTTTATTAAAAACATGTAAGATTAATTTGTTAAAACTTTATAATATAATAATGTTACTTCTAGGAGAGTTGGTGTTTATTTCTGTGTTTACTTATAAAAACATATTTTTTCATTTTATGTCACCTCAGATAATCAACCTGCACATATCAATATTAATCATTCCTTCTTTTAGCAAATAAATGCTCTTTCTGTTTGTGTTTAATAATTTTTTAATGTATTTATAAAATAAAATCTAATATTTTGAAAAATCAAAAACAAACAGATTATAAAATTTCTTTTAAATTGTACATATCTATAAAAATTGGTAACTAATATTTACTTTATATATTGAAATTGTAGCAGAAATATTGTATTTAATTGATCTTAATTTTATGAAATAACCTTATAATATTGATATGTAAAGTTTAAAATGTTGTTTGTGTTTACAATGATATCAATTTTTTTTCAAATCTTGATTACAACTGTTTTATTTGATATAACAAGAAACGGAATGGTGGCTTGCCTTCTGGAGGAGACGACTTCCCTTCCCTAAGTGCACCCCCTGGATTTCCTGCTATGCCTCCTGCTGCTGCTGCCCCACGTTGGGAGGTTAAAAAACCTCCTAAACCACCCCCTGGCCTCGGAAAGCCCCCTCCCGGTTTGCCGCCTCCGGGATTTTCAGGTTTTAATTTATTTATTTAATTATTTTTAACAAAAATAAAAACAATATTTTTTACCTAGGTCTGAATTAGTTGGATGAGTTTATTATTTATTAATTACCAAATATTATATTAAAGAAAATCTTAAAACAAAAGTTAATGTTAGAACCAGTCTAGATGATACAAAGTTTTAATTTGTAAAAACTCTATTCTTAAAAAAAATTAACTTCACTATTTGCACCCTTAATAGTTCTGTCCACAGTTACTACTGTTAATAGTTTTATAGTGTTCTTCCAACTACTTTATTTGTTCTCAACTTACCTTATTTCTCCTATAAGTAACTTATTCACAATTTGTTATCCTTAGAATTGAGTTGAGTATGGATTTGTTATGATGTGGTTAGATGGATCATTCATACTCACCATTACAGATAACTCTATGTTTCCACCTCAACTTCCAATGACTCCTCTTAAGTTAATCCCCTGTAATGTTTCTATTCCTTTGTTTACTCATAAAATTTTCAACCTCTGTTTTAACTTCTTCTTTCTCTATCCTTCGTGCTGTTTAGCATGGAGTAGTCTCGGTCCATCTTAGATATGTGTCCCTATCCTGGGTCTTCCTTTTCATCCCTCTTGTCTGAGTCTATCCATATAACTATTATATGCGATTCATGGGCGTCCAACCAGTCGCTGCCCCCTCGGTCTGGCCTTCATCAGCGACCTAGCTCTACACTCTCCCCCATCCTGCTGACATCCCTTACATGTTTAACTCCAAGGTTATCTCTAGTTGTCCTGTTCCTCACGCTGTCTTGTCTCCTCTTTCCATCAACTCTTCTGAGATACCTCATTTTTGCTGACGTCACTCATGATGCATTCTCGTCCAAGAGTACCCAGCTCTCAGCTCCATATAACAAGACCGGGAGGAAGACAAATCTAAAGATACGAAGGTTCGTCTCTTTGCTCACCTCTTGCTTGTCCGTCAGTATTCTGAAAAATTTGGAAGAAGACCTGGTTAGCTTTATGCACTCGATGCATAACTTCCTGGTCCATTTTCCCATCCCGACTGAGAACAGTTCCATGATATTCATAAATATCAACTTGCTCCAATTGGTGTCCTTCACATATAATCCTGTGCTCCACCTCCTCCCGTCCTACCTGCATGATCTTGCTCTTACCAGGATTGATGGGCGAGTCTTCTTCTCTTAAGCTCCTCAGACCACTCCTCCACTGCAACTTTCAGAGAATCCACATTGTGTGGTAACAGCACAATGTTGTCTGCATAAACAAAGCACTAGGCCTGGATGGGCAGGATATTCTGATATCCAACAATTACTCTGGATGTTCTTCACTGGTATACCTTCAACACCTCTTTCATGATAATGTTAAACAGAAGTGGGCTGAGGCTATCTCCTTGATTAACCCCTTTATAAAATTTGAATGAAGCAGACTTCATTCCATTTAATCTAACCACGCCTTTTGGGTCCTGGTAAGCTGATTTGGTGGCGCTGATGAGGTTTGGTGGTATCCACTTCTCCTGTAAGGCAGTCCAAATCTCCTGTTTGGGGACTGAGTCAAAGGTTGCTTTGAAGTCCAAAAAGGCAAGGTAAACATTTCGTCCTTGGTCCAACGCTTTCTCTGTATCCATCCTGAGAGAGAAGATATTTTCTTGGGTTTATCTTGAAGGCCGGAAAGCAGCTTGTTCCTCTTCCATGTCAGGTTCAATGAATGCTCTCAGCCGCTGCTCCAGGATCCTTGTGTATACCTTATGTACCACCAACCTCTGTTTTAACTCATTTTCTGTTTTAAATTATTAAGAAAATGTTCTTTCAAAATTAAAATCAGTATATGTGATGTAAAATTTCAAAGACCATTCAAATTCATTTACAATTTTTTTTAATTAACTATTTGGTTTCTAAATTATTGAGATAAAAGAATTTCTTTAGAAGACATTTATTACTTTCACTTACCTATATATGAAATATATATTAAGAGAAAGTTTTACGATAGTGAAAACTTTCGAATCCATCATTTCTAAAGGCAGCTGAGAAATAATTATTAAATGATCCTGGTGGGGATTGAACCCAAAAAGTTTTGAACCAGTACTCGGCCCTAAAATTATCTATATAGTATAGGTAAGTGAAAATTGTATATGGTCCATACATTGCACCAGAGTTTTTCAATCCTGATGAAACTTTTTTTTCAAACAAATTATTTTGTTTTATGATAATATAGTACACCAAAACTGTTTATAAATTTTAAAAAAAGTTGAAAATAGTTTTGACTGGTTTTTGAAATCTACCCCTGATATTGATATTGTATTATAGAACTCCTGGGATCTATGAATCCTTATTTAAATTTATTACTTGTTAATTGGGCTCTATAGTATGAAATAGTGCATTCAGAATTACTAATTTTTATTTTAATAGCTTCTTTTGTTGATTATACTTGTGATATTCTTTTAGGGCTCAATGGTGGTTTTCCGCCTCTTATTGGTGGACCAGCTGGAGAAGATACTGCAGTTGGCGGATACATCACCCCTAGTAATTTTGCTAAGCGAAATTCTTCTTTAGTAAAACTTATCAATACCTCACTTGTTGGTGAAACATTGGATGAATTCAAACAAATATCTGTGGCATTCAGGTACTTATTGAGGTTAAAGTTGGAACATTGATTATAATTCGTTCTTCTGTTCATTTATCCTAATTTTGGTGTCTTGAGGTTTTATTTTTTACATAAATTAGGCCAATTATCACCAACATTTTATTGATACGCTATTTAATTCGACGTTTCGACCATACTAAGGGTCATTTTCAAGTCTTGATGAGTCCTCCGGTATATATTCATCATTAATGTCGCAAATAATTTGTTAAGTGAACATTAAATTGTCATACTCTACAGGGGTTTCGCCTATGTCATTTCTGGAGGAACAGTCCCTTCTTGGCTTAATTTATGTAAAAAATAAAGTTATAATTCTTCATTATCTCCTTAACCTTTCATAGGACATAGAGAAAAATTTGTTTCACTTGAGGAGTTTGAAAAAAACCTGTATGGAGCCTTAATTTGCTGATATAGTACTGTTAAACATAGGGGAAAATAAAAATATGTTATCTACAGTAAAACTTTTGAGTGCGTTAGCTGATTTAAGTTCAAGTGGTGTTAAACTTTAACAGAGAGTTGCTTTGTTCTAGCCCTATTCCCAGTACGACAGTGAGTGTAGGTGGACACACTTTATTATGCTTCCTGTTCCAGTGACTTTCTTTGGCCAAAATGTGAAACTATTCTTTAATCTAACATTAAAAATATTATTCACTAATTTGTCAAACTGGAAATTTTTTTGTGGTTGAATGAAACTATGAATTCATATGTAGATCAGTTACTAGTATTGTGCCCAGTTTCTAATTTTAAATTTTTAATCAGTATTTTTACCCAATTTTATAAATAATATTTACTTTCTAAAAATAATTAATTTAAAAATTATTTAGGCTCTTTGAATTTCAATATTTTTTTTCCTTGTTATTTCACTAGAAATAGTTGTAGATGCACACAAGTTAACTATTTACTATAGATTATCTTATTTTATAATTTACATATAAATTCTTTTATTAAAACCCGTTTTTTTTTTCTCAGTAGTTTTCCTTATCATACTATAATTTATAGCTTGTTTACATCATTAAAACCTGTATTGGTGGATTTATTGTGTTTTGTTCTCCAGGTTGTCTGATAAAATATTATACAAAGAGTAAATTCTTTTTATGATTGCCATTCAGAAATGGGCATGCTAATATTTATTTAGTTTTCTTATCATGTTTATAAGTTATTTGGCATAAACCCATTTTGGGTTGCTGTTAGTGTTAGTTCTACCATTTTTTTTTTTTTTTAATTTCTAATAACCAATTGATTTTAACTAGTTCCATTTATACATTTGTTTCAGGAGGGGATCATTAGCAGCCCCCGAGTATTATGTTCATTGTAGAGAAATGTTGGGTCCTGCAAACTTCAAAGAACTTTTTCCAGAACTTCTAGCTTTGTTACCAGATATTGCCAAACAGCAGGTAAATATAACTGATAGTTCACAATTTTTCAAAGATCCTCTCTTCTATTTAATTTTAGCTTATAAAATATGAAAATATTTTATATAATTCTCATTATATCCTACTAACCAGCTTCTTGTTGTTTATGGCCAGCAAAGAGATTAAAACAAGAGAGTATGTAGTTGAGTTAGTAAAAACAAACTACTCCTTGTTTCCTAGAAATACTGATGCATTTTTGTCTCTTTCCTTTCCATAACAAGGAACATCCGAATCTCTGATCTACAATCATTGATGCCAGAGAATCTTTTTGTTTTTTGAAATTTCATTTTTTATATTTTGTTCTCAATTGTCCGATGGTCTGGTCAGTTCCTCCATTCCCAATTTTCTTAGCCTGCTTTTAAATAATATATCGGATCTATACTTCTTAAATTGTTTGGAGTCCATCTCTTTCAGATCACTTTTTCTTATGAACTGTCTCAATTCTAAAATAACCGGATTGGTCATGAAATTATAGCTCTATATGTACTTGAATCCATGTTAAAGAGGCTGATGAACATCTTAAGTTGCATTGGAACCTTCCCCATTATCTCTATATCTTCCATTGTTTTTCCGAGTCAAGTTTCACTCTCCTGAGGTTTCATATACATATACTGTCCATTCTCTAGCTATCTTTTATTATTGTCTATTTAGGTCTATACCTCTCTCCCTTGTCCTCAGCAGAGAGATTGGAAGGGGTAAAGGGGAGGATTTTTGGGAAAATCTTTTTATTAGTGAGTTTTAATAACTTGTGGTAAAGTTTAGTTTGTTTCTAGTTCCTTCTGACACATGGTCATTGTTGGCTTTTAGGGGTGGGGTAATTACGAGTTCGCATCCCGGTACCGGGGAAAGGGGCTTTCACCTCTGGCATTAATCCCCCTCCCCCTCTCACTCCCTAGAGAACAGAAAAAAGAACTATTTGGCTTCTTTGCCTGGGCTATTAAGTCAAGTCTTGAATGAGAGCCCAACAGTTGCAAGTCAATTTTAACCAATAAGAGCTTTATAACCTTTACAAGCTATATTAAGTGCTTTATTGTTTGGGTAAGGTAGCTAGAGTACCTAAAGGTAGCTTTGAAATGGCATTTCACTTTTTAGAAGTGGGCAACAGTAGTACTAGAAAAACAAAGTTATGACGAGCTTTCAACCGAAACTATAGTAACCATTAATTTGCACAGCATTACATATATCTTATATAAATGAAACTTTCTTTTCATCAATATTTGTTTTAAGTATATTGTCCATTTGTTTTTAATAAAGTTGAAATGTTTATTTATAGGAACTTTGGAAGGTTTATAAAGTAGAAAATAAAAACATGGGTACTACGTCCTCTAAAAAGAAAGGGAACAAATTAGAAGCTTGTGCAACATGTGAGCAGATTCTTCGATCATCTGATTTGAGGGAACATCTCGCAAAGCACAGTGGAATGGCAAACCAACATATCCCTCAAGAGCAGAGTAATCCTTGGTCAAAAGTTAACTGACTTTTTCTTAACTAATTAATTTTGACCATGCAAGATCATGTATATAATTTAAGAACTAGGTGTTCTTTATGCATGTATTTGTATTTATTTGTATATGCTGCATATAACAATTACAAGGCTGTTGAAAAAAGTTTTTTGCCTTTAGATACCCAGCAGCATCAGGAACACAAATTTACTTCCGCATTTTGATCTCCATTCATAAGAAATACTTTTGTGTGTAATATAATCATTGGTGTGGTATTCATCTGTTTCATTTTGTTTTTAATTAATTTTATGCCTCAGTCAATTCTGCAATGGAGTTCATATACATAAATAAACTTGGCAATTTAAGTAAAATAGTTTCTCTGAATATCTTTCAAGATAATCATTTTTAGTTGAAAACTTATTTATCTTTTTGTTTTGTTTTTGTTTCTATAACAATTCATAAATTTTATTATTTTTACTTTTTTTTTAAATATATATTTATTTATCTTTTAAATAAAAATAAAAAATGCTATGTTACTATTTTAAGGATTGTCATGACATTTTGTTACAAATGATCCTTTTTTCCATATGCATAAATATTTTGAAATGGTAATTTGATTGTATTCAAGTAATTCTTATACTAACTTCAAAATGTGAATATTCTGGTTTTGCCTTTTAGAACTAACTAAATTTGTCGAATTAATGGGTAAGGAAATGGGTAATATTCATTTCTTTACCCTCACATTTATGTTTCAGTTCTAATAGAAATAATAGCTTATATATATATATATATAATAATCATATTGAATTATATATGGCCAATGTTGTTCAATTTTTAAATTTTAAATATATTGTTAAACTTTTTTGTAAATGTGTAAATGAATGTACCTGTAAAAAATAAGGTTATTTTGCGAGGTGCAAGACTTGATATCAAGCTCAAATTAAAATTGTACATATGTAATCTGTAACATTGTATATTTTGAGATATCATTAAAGGAAATGTTATATTTTATATTTTTTGAAAGAAAAAAAGAAAAAAAAAGAAATCTTGTAAACTTATTTAAGCAAAAGCTTAATTTAAACGGTTGTATATTATTTTCTTACAGACTTATTGTATTGATAAAGCTTCCTTCCATCTTCTATTTCAATTGTCAGTTCATGTTCTTTTAATTTTTTTTTTTCTATTTCCAAGATAAAAATCAATGAATCATGTTTTTAAATTAAAGTTTTGTGGAAATGCATAAGGGTACTAGTGCCATCTTTGAATTTTTGCAGACATATTCAGTTCAACACGTGGTAAAAACGTGACATACCAAGAAAAAATCCCCCCTAACATTGCCCTAAACATTTATTTCTATGAATGCCGAAAAGACAATGTTTTGCACCTATAATCTTTTGCATCTCCACACTTCAATTCTGTTTTATTTTTGTAAATATAATCTTCCTCATGTTTCTCAGCAATTTATTTTAATATTGTATTCCTTGCCATTTTTCTTTTATTTATTTAATAGATTTTAGAATTTTGTGCTTAAACTTACATTATGTAAGAAGCTTGCAGGTTCTGATTGTTTTTTCATGCTACTTATTCAATTCATTTTTCATTTGATTTATTATTTTCAATTAGGAACCTCACCAATCAAGCAAGAATAATCGAATAAAAAAAAGTTTGCTTTATACAGCTTTTCCTTGAGAATATTGGACCTGTTTTTTTTTGTGATTTGAAAAATGGACCCCATTCAATAGTGACTATAATAGCAATAGTTAAAAAATGTATTATTCTGTATAATGTAACTCCAAAATGGCTGTAATGATAGTGATCAAACTTAAGTATTCTGTTTGAAGCCCAGTAAATCTCTCTCGCTCTCTCTCTCTCTCTCTCTATATATATATATATATATATATATATATATTACTTACTTCCCCAAAGAGAGGCTGAAAATAGTTATGATGAATGCAGTATTTTATTGGCAAACAGTCAAAAATTATTCTCTTATATACATTTTCATTTAAAAGTTATGAAATTCTATACCACAATGAATCATCGAAAAAGGGCTATTTGGTGTAGAGATATGGGAAACTTTTTGCTTATAAGCTGATCTTTATTTTGGTTTTGATAACTCGAAAACTATACATCCACAGAAACATTCAAGATGTTTATTTGGAGAATAATGTTATTATTTAATTTCTTGGGTTATTGTGGAAATAAGACTTAATAGTAAATATATTACATATAATACTTGAAATATATTGCATAATAATAGTAAAAACTAATTGATATAAGAGGCGTAAAAAATTATTTTTGTTTTAGTTAGATTAATGCTGCATGAGATAAATAAAGAGAATTCATTAAATGCCATTCAAAATAATATTGAAGATTTTTAGGGGAAAGTTTACATTAAGAAAATACATGGCTGAAGAGATGGAAGAACAATTGGTGTTTGAATTAAGTTAAAGATGAGGTTTTGCTAATGTAGGTGGTTAAGGAATTCCAAAACAAAGTAGAGTAGTACAATTGTAAAGGATTTTTCAAAATAAACAGTTCTATGAAAAGGAATATTCAAGTTTATGAGCTGGGATCTCGTGTTGAAGGAATTGACAGCGGAACAAGGAGTTAATTATAATTAATCAAGAAGGTTTTTGGTGGTGAACATGTGGAAAAGGAATACACATAAGAAATATTGCCATTGGGAAACTAGGTATCCATTTCAACTTGGCATACCAACTGGATATGTGGGAGTGCCTTGGGACTTCAAAGATGTATCTAATGTAACAATTTATAAGCCTCTTCTATCTAATCTTTGCCATCCGACAGTCCACCATATACCTCGTTCTGCCATGAATACTGTTAAAAAAGTTGAACTTTGTTTACATCCTTGGGTGTTATTTAGATAATCTTTACCTCTATCAGGTTATTATTTTTACATGTCAGGATAATAATCCCAATTAGTTTGTATTTTTCTTTCGCCCAGTTAACATGGATTGGGGTGAAAATGAACACAGAATAACTGTGATCGCCTTACACAAAGTTGGAAAATGTAGATCAGAGATTTTCAACACTTTTGAAACCTTTAAGTATCTTGGATATGTTCGTGTACCGCACTATGTGGCAGACCCCGACCAGGGTGTCCCCACATTGTGGGAACAGCAAATGTAGTGAGAGCAGTGGCTGCTCGAATCAGAAGAAATCCTATTCGAAAACAACAAATCATGTCCCAACAAATGGGAATCTCTGTCAGCTCAATGTCTCGCATAATAAAAAGTGATCTCAGGATGGGTGCATTTCGAAGAATGACAGGACAAAGTCTTCATCAAAAGATTTTGTTGATCGATGAGAAAATTTTTACAATTGAAGACAAATTTAATTGCCAAAATGATTGTTTACGCACACAGCTCTAAAGAAGCCCAGGAAGAGTGGAAAGAGGTGATCACCCTTCCTCAGTGATGGTTTGGTGGGGAGTTAGCTTTGATGGTACCACAAAGCTCCATTTTTGTGAAAAAGGAGTTAAAACAGACACTAAAAACTATCAGGATGATATTTTTGAACCTGTTATCAAGCCTGATACTCTGTTTTCTGCAAGTCATTGGGTTTTCCAGCAGGATTCTGCTCCAGCTCACAAGGCCAGGCCAACTCAGCTGCCTGCAAAAGAACATTTTAGAGGTCATCTCTGCCTCGGATTGGCTCTCAGGAACCTCTGATCCCAATCCAATAGATCATCGGCTTTGGTCTGAACTGGAGAGGATGGGATGTTGGAGAGCACACCTTAACTTGGAAAGTCTCAAACAATCTCTGGTCTGAGCAGTTTAGCGCTTTCCTCAAGAAGTGCTATGTGCTGCTATTGATGACTGGCCACGGGGATTAAATGCCTATGTCAAGGCAAAGGGGGGACATTTTGAGTAATTACTTTTTTGTTTTACTCTCTATAGATATACATTTTATTTACTAATAAAATTTTTTAATTTTTCTGTTGAAATCTGTATATATTTCCTTGTAACAATATTTATGAAAGGACTAGGTAGAAGGCAGCCATAACCAAAATGGAGAAAAATAAGAGAGGAAACTAGAAGTCAACGTGTTTTAAGTGGGATATAATCTTGGGAACTATTTAAGGGTAACAAACATTTTTTTGTAAAATTTGAGAAACATAATTATTCTAGGACAAGTATTGATTAAACATTGCCCCAAAGTTTCGCACAGAAGTGGAAGCGAATAGGGAGAGTAAAGGATAGTAAGGAAGGGAATTAAGAAGATTCTTAAACCCAATAAGAATGGCTTTGGTCTTCTCAATGTTAATGCTCAAATTACCCATGTTTTGATATTGTCTATATCTTCTTAATGCCTTTGGGTCGCGTCAAGCATCTCAGTAGGATGAAAGAACTGGTAGATCTGGAGGCGATCAGCATATAAGTGGTATTGTGATTGATGGATAGAATTAGGGAGGTAAATTCATCAGCACCATGTTAACATGCAACGTTAAACAGGCTCATATTCATTACTTGAAAGTAAGGAATGTGATCCTGTTTAATGTTGCACATTCCTTACTTTAACATGGTTCCAACAAATGATACCTTTGTGTTAGGTTCTGGATTAAATATATCATCCAATGTTGATTTGTGTTGCACTACAATTATAAGGTTTAAGCATTAAAAGAAGGAAGAGCATATTATATTTTCACCTGGTTATATGTTTTCAAATTAAATAACTATCTAACCCTGTTTAAAGTAATTAAATACCTTTGTTTCCAAAAAGGTTACGATTATATATATGAATTTTAACTTCTAAACTTAAAAATATCATTACACTAACCATTTTTTTTTGTTTAAAAAAAACATGACTAAAATTAAAATGTACATCTTGCAATTGAACAAGGTACCTTTGTTTCTTGGTGGATTATTCCTTTTGTACAATAAGTCCTTTGTCTTTTTTTTTTTTTATTATTATTTGAAACTGCACAAAAACAAAGAAAGGTGCCAAAACATTTTAATGTTACATTTAATTTCTGTGCTTAAGCAGTATATTTGTTTATGTTAATTATTGAGACTCTTGTTACAATAGAACAAATAGATGAAATTAACTATTGACTAAGATAAGTTTAAACTAGAAAGATTATAAGAAAAGACCTTTTCATTTTTACCTGTAGATATTTTGTATTTTATCTTTACAATTAAATCATTAATTGGATAAAGCAAATCGAAAATGAAATTAAACAGGAGTGGTGAGAAAATAAAAGAAGAGGGGGTTCACCAGGACTGTTGGGCAACGGTCGGTGGTTCAGTCATCTGTCAGCATTCTTTCGCTTGTCGTTGGATTAATTCCACTCAAGAGTAGTTTAATTTCAAGATACAGGTGCGTACTAAGTCAGTCTTGTTTATAAATCTAGAGATGCCGGGTTCTTATTATTTGGTTACCATACTTCTATCTAAATTTGTTTCTAAATGTTTAAACGCTTCTTAATTAGACCGCTCTTGTTTCTAATTTATTATTCAAATGGAAAAGACAAATTCTTCACTTCGTTGATGATAACGAATACATATTGAAAAACTGTTTAAATAGTTAAAACCATATCAAATCAATCTCTCAAAGAACCTATGAACACAAATAAACAACATTGGCATCTTTTAAATTGAAAAGTACATTAATATTTTATTATTGGGAAATATATTTTATTATATCTCAATAAATTTGAAATTCAAAATTTACTGTAAAAAAAAGAAAATATATCGGAATAGCAGAAAGCTTTAAAGGTTTTGGTGAAATTCAAATCGTAACTTTAATAAAAACATTAAAAATAAAGCAATCAGTGGTAATATGTCTTGATGTTGAGTACAACTCAGAGATTAAAAAAAAAAATTGCTGCCTGGTATAAACTGATTCCCCTCTCCATCAGGTGCGCAGCGAATTTATGTAATCGAATCTATATTATATAAACCTGAAATAAGTCGCATGTTTAAGGTAGTACTGTAGAAGTGCAATTGAAAATCTAAAAATTTAGTTTCCTTATCTTTTTTTAACTCTTTTAGATAGTAATTTTGGTAAATTAACTCGGTTTGAAATGATTTTGAACGGCTAACCCAAGCAGATGTCGTCAACCTTACTACCTACAACATCTTAAACCCGCCCAAGCCAAATTCTCCAGGAAAAAAATTAACTTTTTCCTCCCATCTATTTCTCGGTCTACCTCTCGGACGTTTGCCGTCCCATAGAAGTCCAATATAACGAGTATCTCTGGCTCTTCTAAACTACACATCCATTTACTAAAAAAAAAAAATCGTCCAGGTAATAATTGTAATATAATGTATGGCATTCAATTCCCCTTTATTCTCATAAGCCTTAAGTGTTATCTTCCCAGTGGCCAGCACGGGCGGATTTACGGGGGGGGGGGGGAGGGGGCTTTCGGGCTGAAGCTCCCCCCAAAATGGTAAAATATAACCATGTTTTATCGAAAAAAATATTTAAAAAGTATCTCTTAAAGTATTATTATTCGTGTAATTACATTTAAAAGGGCTTTAGGGATAACTTAAACACCATTTCATACAGGTAGTTAGTTTCTTTCTTTTTTTCCAAAGTAATTATCGTTATTTTTATGAAAAAAAAAAACCTTTCGGACTGAAGCCCCCCCCAAAAATAAATCCTGGATCCGCTAGTGGTGGCCAGTGTCTATAACCTTATGCCAGTCTGGAATCAAGGCATATAAAGCAATTTATGACATGGGTTGGAGTGCTCTCACAGCAAGATCAATAAGTCAAAAATAAATGTAAAACGTATTACAGCGGATACTACACACATGATATAAAAGGAGGAACGATTTTTTTTTTTAGGTATGCTATATGTTTTGACGCTCTCTTAAAAAATCCACGTTTTCGACTTCTCACCCCATATGCGTTTTTTCGCCATCTTGATAAAAAAAATAATAAAAAATAATTACAATTTCTCAGATTTTTTCTCAGTTAATAACTTGAAGTACAGTTAAGGCAAATAGATGCCATTGCGAATCGTTCAGAGCGTATAACCTTATAGCAGACCAAATATTTTTCTAATATACTAAAGATATCAAATGTGCAGAATCAAGATATCATCTATCCCAAACGATTCAAACTTTTTGGAGGGCTGGAAAATAAGGAAGTGCCATGAGCTTGCCCGAGAGCTGAAACTGCTTCCCCGAGAGAAAGTAATAATGACCCCTACAATTATTTTTTCAAATGGTCTCATATTGAAAATCATAAGGTAGGAACAGCTCTTGGTTTTGCCCTACAGAGCTTGAAACTGGCTCAAAAAGCAGCCCTGCTTGATTGTATGAAAATGTCTATATAAATGAAATAACACATTCACATCATGAAGTAACGAATGTGAATTTTTTTGCTCAATATCAACTTTTTATTATGGATAAAATTACTACAACATGTAGATATCTAGCAAAATTATAAAATCGTAAAAATGACATTCTGATTCTGGTCTACCTATTGTCGTTCAAATTGGCCATTTTGCCACAAGATGGGACTTACAGTATTGTTAGACTATGAGCTACCGACCATTTTATTTAACAGACATTTAACTTAATGGCAAGTAACCATTTTTAATTCTAGATAAACTTCATCTGAACACACAAATTCGCTCAGTCGGTTAAAAGCCGTTTTAAATGAAATGGTCGGTAGCTCCTAGACTATATGGTAAACGAACGAAATTGAAAAATACGATTTTTCAAATTCGTTACTTTAACATGATACCGACTATTGTATTATAATTAATTAATAATATTTTATTATGTTTGATAATTATATTAGAATATTGTACTTTATAGAATATTCATTGGCAACACTATCTAGATTTAATGTGCTGCTATGATCTCTCAGTTTTTATATTATTGTTTGGAATTATATCGTCAAGTTTTCTTGATGTCAGTTCATTTATTAACTTTACAACATTATTAAACATGGTGTCAGAAGTGAAAATGGCTTGCAACAAAATAAGCTAATATCGGATAAACAGTGAACGTATCTGCGAATGAACAGAAATTTACTCAAGACGTCTGATGAAAACGCGTATATTGAGCAAGATTCTGGCATAGGTTTTTCATCTTTCTCGAGAGTTTGTTTCTGAACTAACCTTTAAACACTACTACTAAATTTGAGGCAATAATGACAACTAAAGGTAGTTTTAATCATAATATTGAACCACGTCGAGTGGAAGTCCATTCCGCTAATCTAGCAAAGGCATGTGCAAAGTGGTACAAAGCGCTCAACTTGTACTTGATAACGGCAGATCTGGATGAAGCAAGTGAAAAGAGAAAGGTCGCCTAGTTACTCTCTTTAATTGGCAAACAAGGTAGGTTTATTTTCAATTCATTTAATATTAGTGAAGACTCTGTTACATATGCTGTTTTGCTTGAAAAATCCAACACTCTTTTCACTCCAAAAAATAATATAACTGTGTAGAGACACAGATTTCTCAATCGACGCCAGAAACCTCTGGGGAGCATATTGATGATATTTTAACGGACATTAAAAACCTTAGTTTGTCTTTTTTTCTTTTTTTTTTTTTGTTCTTCCCTACCTCGCCTTTAAGGCTATACGGGATTTTCCCGGGTCGGGGGGTGAGGGCGGGGAAATTTACTCGTACTTTTTATATCATCTCAAATCTCTTATCCGGTTGCCAGGCAACTAGCGGTGCTGTTACACACGCTTTAGCCTATTCGGCCACCCCGCCCCCCCCCCTTACCTTAGTTTGTCCTGTGAAACAGACACAATGAGGGAAGGTCTTGTCAGGGATATGTTGATTGTCGGATTGATCGACTGCAAATTGAAGGAACGTCTTCCACAGGAGACTGCCTTGAAGCTGGACAAAACTCTGACAAAAGTTATGAGTTAACACATACTGAATTGAAAGGCATGTAGAACGCTAATGTAATGAATCAGCTTCTCACCAACAAATAAATTCTGTTCGCAATAGAATGAAGATACTTCTGACTGGCGGAGGAAAAACACAGGTTGGAGATATGGCCAATTTAATTAAACCGATTATCAATAATTAGACAGAGGAGGAAGTAGTTCACCCTGACACACGAGTGATTCAACAAAGGATCGTCACCGGGGTTCTTCTCGTGAACGTTATTCGCAGGAATCTCCTGGAGGACCTGAGTGTGACAGTTGCGGCCAAATATTCGTTACAGGTGTCCAGCAAAAGGAAGTTGTGATCGATGCCATGAATACGACCATTATTCCCGCATGTGTAAAAGAAACTTGGACTTAAAAAATTGGTAAAGATGCTGATTAGTCAACCAGGCTACGACAGTCGACAGGGATAGGAAGATCAGACAGATTGTGGGTACTTTGTTTGTAAATTAGATTGTTTTAATGATATCTGGTCAGTCAAAATTATAATAAATAGTCAAACAATCACATGCCAGTTGAGTACAGGGGCCCAACCAATCGTTTGTTTTTTGATGATTTCACATTAAACAATGGGATTCAGGTATTATAAAACCGCCCATGACCAAAATTATATCTTTCTGTTGTTCAGAGGTTCCAAATCTTGGTTTTGTTGATGTAGAATGCCAAATTAGAGATAAGTTGGAAACGATTCGTGTTAATATCATAAACAAAGCTTTTCCAGCAGTTATGGGGCTACAATCATGTTTAGAATTGGGCTTGATCCAGAGAGTTTTAACAATGAATAACCACAAAAATAATTTCAATTACTATAATATAATAGACAGGTATCAGCATGTTTTCAAAGTCTTAGGTTGTTTGTCTCATGTATGCTCGTTAAAATTTAAACATGATGCTAAGCATGTGATAGACCATTCCAGAAAATTACTTTTTATGTTATACAGCCGAGTAAAAGCTGAATTAGATCGTAAGGAGAAGGAAGGAGTAGTGGAAAAAGTTGCCGAGCCAACAGAGTGGGTCAGCTCAATGGTAGTTACTGTGCGCCCATCTGGTGCATTACGGATTTGTTTAGATCCGAACAACCTAAACAAAACTTTATTGCGATCCCATTATCAATTGCCAACGTTTTCCTAAATACGATCAGAACTATTTGGTTCTACTGTCTTTTCTATATTAAACTCAAAATCTGGCTTCTGGATTTTTCCCATTGTTGAATGGAGTACGAAGCTACTAACCTCTAATACGGCGTTCAGTTGGTTTAAGGCTTACCGTTTGGTAAATCGTTTCAGCGTAGCTCCTGAACTTTTTCACTGTACAATGATGGATGCGTTTGTTGATCTACCTGGGGTCGAGATTTTTTTGGAAGACCTGCTTGTACATGGACCAACAAAGAAAGTTCATGATGAACGACTGGAGTGCGCCGTTGAACTCATCGTTAGATTAATTATTTAAAGCGAAATG